AGACAAACTCCACCCGTGCTCCTATAGCTGCTTATTCAACGCTGACCCTCACTGTGTTTGTGGAGGAGGAGAAGGATGAAGGAAGGTGGAGTCGCTGGAGCCTCCCTCCACCGCTGCCAAGGCTTAAGTCAATGTGGAGACTGTTTTCGGGGATCTCAGGCCGGGGCCCTTTCCTGTGGACCCTCCTCCTCCTCCTCTTCCACCCTCCACCCTCTCCTCAGCCTGGCTGGGCCTGGCGCTGGCACAGAGGTCCCTTTGTTGCGCGCCCGAGAGCCCCAGCTTTCTGTCCGTCTTACTTTCCCCCCACCCCACCTCCTCTTCTTTTCTTCCTCTGTTCCCTCCCCTTTTTTTTCCTCTAAAAGTCTTCACAAATATGAGATAATAGGAAAAATGGAGCTGGCATCTTGTGGGTGACTCAAGGCAAAATGTCTGAGGGGGAAAAATAGAAAGCGAGAGAGAGAAAGCAAAAAGAGGCGATATTGTTTGTGAGACGGACAGAGGTTGCGCCTCTCACCATGGAGCCGAAACAGCCCGGATGGGGGTTGGGTGGGGGGCGCACCGTGACACACATATGTACGCAGTTTCCCTCTCTCGGCAGGTGGACGGGGTTGTTTTGGCTGAGCCACAGGGCAGCAGCTTGACTCTGTTTGAGCCAATGAGCCAAAATAATAGCGCTGGAGTCCAGAGTTATTGTCAGCGTTTTTGTTTTTGTTTTGCTTTTCCCAGAATCCTCCTCAGCCGAGCGGGATTCCAATCAGGACGTCTCCCATCAATAATTTTGTGTGGAAAATACAAAAGCAACTTGAGATTAAATCAGACGTGCGATAAAGTCAAAGAAAGGGAGAAGGTGTTTTGACGCAAGCTAAGAGAAGTTGGGGGGTGGGGAGGATACATTTTGGGGAAAAATTTGAGTGAGACATGGAGACATCAGGAGAGGAGCTATTTTACTCATCATAAGTCTAATAAGCAACTGGAACAAGAGGTCATGAAACATCCTTTTTTTTTTAAATAAATAGGAAGGGTGATCTTCAATAAGTTAGCTTAAACATGAGAGTGTAGGTATTACTGTTGTTCCGAGGTGAGTGGGTGTCCCATCTCCGCCCTCTGCTCAGAGCACCCCACCCCGCGAAATATGCAGCTCCCGCCCCAGCGTGGGCAACAAGCTCCGCACACTTACCTCACCTCACCGCCAACATACACCCATCTCATACACACACGCGCAAACAGGCGGCTTGCCACTCGCCAGAAGATGAGGGAGGAGTTTGTGAGTTTCATGGAAAGAGTTGTGCCGTTTTCATTTTATATTCAATTCTGACAAACGAGTTGGCCGCTTTTTTACTGCTGTTTATTTTGTCTGAATTAAGTACAAAGAATTTCGGGTTAATAACTGTTTTTGTTTGTTTGTTTGTTTGTTTGTTTCTTAATCACAGTCAAGTGTACAGGAATCTCTAAGAATGTTTGGAAAAAAGCTTTTCTCTCACTGTTTAGTAACCCATGACTTCCTGTTCCCCCTGTGGCACAAATGTGACCTTGTGAAGAAGCTGTTTTAGCCACGCTTCAAGATTAGGAAGACAAGAAAACTTGCTTTTCTTGTCTTCTAAAACATACTTTAGAAAGTATGTTTTTTTTTTAAAAAAAACGTACAAATTACAAGACTTGCCTAAACCTTAAATTGCCCATTTAAAAAGTTTAATTCTGACAGAGAGAGATGGAAGGAGCTTTTCTTGAGAGAGGTACAGCAAGAAGTGACGACTTACTGGCACCTGGTCTGTGTAGCATGCCAGAAAATGTCCATTTCTGTCCTACCATCACAAATGTATATTTGAAGTTTTGTCACGTTACGTCATTCTGTACAACTTTTCTCTTCCAATAATCCTAGTAATCTGTCTAGAGTTCTTTGCAGAGTGCTTTGTAATTGAAAATAATGCATCCTGTGATCGCCATTGGGTGTTCAGGAAGGGGAGTAATACCCAAATTGACTTATTTTTTTTTTTACACATCTTTACGAGGAATCATGACAAATATATCTGCAGCTGGATGTTTTTTTAGCCTCAAATATCCCCAACTCTAATGCAGGACAAAGTAGATGAGGTGTTTTCATTCTGTTCACTGAAATGGAAGATAAAAGTATTGAATCTGTGAATGGAGCAGAGGTGAAAAGGAGTGATGTGCGCCAGACGCGGTGGCTATTGTTGTTGGGGAGCCTGGAGTCGGCTAAGAAAGCACATTTGGAGGTTGACAGCATTCTAATGCGCCAAAAACAGCAGCGATGAGAAGCTGATAGTGGGAGTCAGAGTGACATTTTCTAAGGTGACAGTTCCAACCTATTCAGAAGTTTGTATGTTGCTGTGTTTTCGTGCGGTTTGGGCAATAGTGGAGGTTCACCGCATCATTCAGCGGCTCACTAAAAGATTCAGCTCCACTTTTCTTTTCTCCAGCCTCCCTCTCCAGCTCCCCCTGCCCACTTCCTCCCTTTTCGCCGTCCGCCACACAATGAAAGAGCCTCTTGGCTTTTATTAATAGTTAAAGTGGCCCCGGCCTGTCACCGGGGACAATGGCTGCAGCCCTGTTAATAAATAAAAATAATAACTAGGAGATGGAGACGGAGAGCGAGGGAGACGGAGAGAGAACGGGCGACACTGCCATTTGTTGTTCCCTCTCACTTGTCAAAGCTCTTCGGCTTAAAAGCCTCTGTCATTGTTGAGGGAAAGAGGGATGGTGGAGGGCAGCGGGGGGAGACGGGCCAGAGAAAAAGAAGGAGTGCAGGGGCTAATAGCACCTGTTGGGGTGATGCTAAGACAGCTGACATGGGGAGAGCTGCAGGAGTCTGCAGTGTGTTCTCTCACTGCTCCCTGTTTTAGACAAACATTCTCCTCCTGCTTCATACCTTCATCGCTCAGCCAAACAACACTCCCCCCTCTTACCCACCCACCCCGAGGGACACGAGAAGCACCGGGAGAAGAAGGGGTGGTGGGGTGCGTCAGGGACTGAATCTCTGTCAACGCGGCAAACACAAGGACAGGCCAGGGCCAGGACAAGGACGAAGGCCAGATGAACAGGAAAAGTCAGAGGTGGCCTGGTTTAAACTTCATTATTGATCTTTGACCAGGTGTGTGTGTGTTTGTGTGTGTGTGTTTGGGAGCGTGCGACCACGGTAATCAGCAGGGCGTGAATGCACTTGTCTCAAAGCCAAAAGAAAGGGACAACACTGGACCCTCAGGGGAAGCCGGAGGCACATAACAGTGGAGGTACAATTTGTGTATGTGTGTGTGTGTGGGGGGGGGTGGGGGGGGGTGTTTCTCTGCCAAGCCCAAACATCTTTAGTCCCTTATGTGTTGATTTGTGTGTGTGTGATTGAAGGAATTACTGAATCCTGAAAATCTTCCATTTTCCACCGTCCTCGTCTCTTGATACCTCCACGGCTTAACGGGAACCATTAGGAGGAAACCAGTTTTTGATTGGTAGTAAAATAAGTGATGTTTAACATGATGGATGGATGTGAAGAACAGTTGTTCAGCTCAGCATGAATATAAACTTGGATTTTTGTTTTGGTTACAACATATACGCCTTTACAGGGGCGATCCTTGGTCGAATAGTGTCTTAGGCGGGTCCTTCCTCCCGAGCCCCCCCTCTTACTTCTCTCAGATTTTTTTTTGTCTGTGTTTGCATCTTTAAAAATATGGAGGGGAAAAAAGGTTTTATAAAAATCAAAGTTTTTCCAAGCTCATCTGAACCTGGACTGCTCATAGTGCAGAACAATCATTAGCCTGATTGATGTTGTACTTTATGCTCCAACTGGATTTTTGAGTTTCTTAAAAAAACAAGAACAAGAGCAAAGCAGCCCAGTTCATCGCATCAAAAAACAGCTGACAGATGTTTGTATCGGCCGCATGAAAAGATGGAGTTAAAAACCAGGCACTTACACTTTAGGAGTGTGAGTGCTGACTTATAAATTTATTGGTGTTTGCATATGATGTGTGCAGCTGAATCCATCACTCATTCACAAAAATAGTAACAAACTATTTGTTTACTGTGAGTTAAAGACGAGTTAACATTAGCAGCAGCTGTAAGCTGAATTGACCATCAGGTATTGGTTTAGGGATTCCCATTAGATGATGAATACTTGTGTGTCAGCGTGTAAACAGGGCGTTTCGGCTTTAGCTGCTGGGCGTGGCGCTGTTCATGTTAGAAATTATGTCATTTAAACACTTAGAAGAAACTTCCAGGGTGTTGAAGTTCAAACCAGTTTGTTTCTCTGTAAATGATTAGGAAGACTTCACACTAAAATGTTATTTTCACCACTGTGTGTAACTTTCTGATCTGTGTGTGTGTGTGCAGTCTACATGCACACACACTCAGGACTGAGTCTCTCCATGCACATGCTCTCCTGTGTGACATTTCCACTCCTCCTGCTGTGCGCGCGAGCGTGTGTGTGTGTGTGTGTGTACCTCTGTGCAGAATTGTGACCACAGTCAGAATCATAATTAGGGATTCTGCGTGTGTGTGCCCGTGCAGCGCTTTTTGTATGTGTGTGTGAGAGAGAGCGACTGTGTGAAGTGTGTGTTGAAAACAAAGCGCTAGCTGATAATGTGTCCATTGTGGCGGGTGCATTAAGGCCCTCTTTGTCTCAGGGCCCACAGGGCTAATGATTCTCTAGCAGCAGGTGAGAGGGGAGAAAAAGCCTCTCTCTGTCTGTCTCTCTGTCCTCCACTCGTCTCTCTCTTCCTCTCTCGCTCGTTTCCCTTTCGCTCGCCTGTTTTTGTTTTTCAGATTTGCTCTCTTTTCGATTATCAGCTCCTCTCCTTCCGCCTCTCTCTCTCGCCCTCTCCCTCTCTCTCCTGCTGATGCGGCCATTAGGCTGAGCCGCCGCTGCCTTTATTACAGCAAATGGACTTTAAATGAGCTTTATTGTCATGTTGGCCAGCCAACTGAATCCCTCTCTCTCTCCCTCTCCTCTGCAAACCCTCACCCCCGACCTCCCCCCTTCCTCCCCTAAACAGAGGCCCCCAGCATTGAGAGGCTGTTGTCAAAGGACTGGAAGGATAAACTTTTGGCCATGGGCTCAGGGCACATCGGAGAAATTAAAGGTACGGCAAAAAGGAAATGACCACATAAAGCAAACGCTTATGTAACAGTAATGACCACTGAATCGATACAAAGTGAAGTTTTGGACTTTGTGTTGCATTATCAGAAAAATAGATTTTTTTTTTTTAATCCAGCTTTGTTTTGTACAAATTAACTACAATGACTGGAATGAGTAAAACGTCAAAACAGTTAGCAATAACCCGGTTTACAGCATATATTATGCTTCCAAAAATCACCCTTTGTAGCACTATAATTATCACAATTATTAATAATAATAATTATAGTAGGAGTAGTAGTAAAAGCGACGTTTTTTTTATTTTTCTTAGTCACATATTGACTCTCACCTACACACAGGCTGTCTTCGAAACTATGTTTATTTCTCCTATAGGTGAGATGTCTGTGGGACTACATGTATGAATAAAATAGGATGAATTAAAGAGACAGTATTTTGTTACTTCATCATCAAAAACAAACCTGGAGTGTTGCCTTGAGGCTTTTGTGCCTGTTTGCGAAATCACAGCCTTCGAAGACAAAGCTCCGCCTCGCAGAGCAGCCCTCCCCCACGATGCCCTCACTCAGCTCCTTCAGACTAGCCTTCAGCAATTAGCAACCGCCAGGTGGAACTGCGTATCTGTGGAGCTCGTTATAGGAGCTACTTCTCAGTGAAATCCTTCTAAAAACATTGTTAAAGGGTTTATAAAGGAGAGATGTGAAGGAGTTTCAGAAAGAACAGGGGTTTTTAAAGAGACAGATTTGTTAAATTACAAGGTAAAACTTCTTTTAAATCATATTTGATACAGCATTTTGATAACAACCGAGGTTAACGTAGCTAACGTAGCACTTTAATAAAGATTCACATGAAAACAACAGAATATAGTTCAGATATAAGATTGGCTTTCTTAGTTTTAAGACAGTGATGGTAGCCCCAGTGAGATTTGTGCAAACAGTATTTTACCTCTAATATTACTAAAGACTCTAGTGCATACTGGGTGAGCAAACGTGTAACTGCTTAGTTTCTGTCTGCTGAGCTTAACTCGTGACATATTAACATCATTAAGATCATTTTCAGTGTTTTACAAGCGATTCTTAAATTTTACAAGTGCCTTTTATATCAAGCATAAATATCAGGCTGCAGCCCAAACCCAGCCGTAAGAATCCGTGTCTGCTCGTCTCCCGTTCCAACGTTTTTGACCGAAAGGCTTTTCTTCCGAGGGTGATTTGTTTGTTTTGCGATCTGTCGCTGTGGCTGAGAAAGATTACGTCGTGTCAAAACTGCAAGTCCCGCGACGCACGAAGCAGAAACTCCTGTTGGAAAATTTCATCCCCAGACATTTAAATCTTCACCACAAAAACGTTGGTTTATTGTGCGCTGAAAGGCCATTTACAGTCAAACTCAGTTACTGCGCAATGTGAAAACATGTTTATGAAGGATTTGCTTGGAAACGCTGGTAACGGTGAAACCGCCGGTTGATGAGCTTAGCATATGTTGAAGGTGTCAAAGTTGGACAAATGGAGCTGAGGAAGTTCTGTTTAACTTGCTTAAACTGTCATGTTATTAAGTAAATTAACTTCTGAATCGCTGCGTTTTGAGTAGTGTTGTAACTGGATGTGACGTTATTGATAATTTCAGCTTATGGGGAGTAATGGTAACCGTGGGAAACCCATTAGGTTTGTTTCTCTTGGTAACCATTCAAACATCCCTACCATCTTGTGGATTCTGTTTCGAAATGACTAAGCCGGACCAGCTGGTGCGTTTTCAAAAAGAATAACCGTGGCGTTCTGTTTATTGGCTCATCAGTCAGTTGCGTTCAGAGTGAGGGAGCCGTTCAGGTTAAAGTTTCAGAAAAATGTAAAGTAAAACCTTCCGCTTCCTCGGCTGTATGTCACAAAGTTAACTACGTCCTTGTGGGTCCATCTTTTTTTTTTCTGAAGTTCACCTCCACTTAACATCCAAGACGGATGGATGTGGGAATCAGAGACCGAAATGAGAAAAAGATGAGAGAAAGGTAGAGGAGAGCAGCTATTATTCCCTGTAACTTCGGGGCAAGGCCGTCGTTCTCCTCCAGTAATTGAACTTCATTAGGAAGCAAAGCAATATGTAATCAAAGAGGCTCACTGAGGGGCCTGGCCATCCAGAGGGGGGCTCCATTGATCAAACCCCCTCTTCCAGCGCCCTGTCGCGCTGACATTTCAGCAGAGGGGCTTCCCGCTTGGCGTGCCGCGCACCAGCAGCTGGGGAGCGATATATGTATGCCTCTGTTTAAGTTCGTATCTGCTGGACCCGCGACGAGTGTGTCTTCGTACTTATGTAATGTTGTGTGTCTGCGTTTTTTTGTTTTTTTTTTCTCTCCCCCATATCATATTCCACTGAAGAACTTTTTGCCGGGAACAAAGTGCTTCTGAGCCGCCGCCGCCTCCTCCTGCTCCATAGGTGTTGGTTAAAGGCCCCATGCGGTTCACATCGCAAACTATACGCACTTACATGGAAGTGGAGAGACGGAATAAATGTTCACACAGAGGAGCATCATTAACATCAAGCGCGTCTCAGTGAGATGGGGACGAGTGGAAAGAAAGACGTCTGGCCTGGCTTTGATTTATCTCACCTTCCTTCACACTATTAGGCTTTTCACATGTGCACCATGAATATCAGCTTGATGACAAGCAGCCGAGCGCAGCCTGGTGATCAGGTTGACAACGGACCCGTTAAGTTCAAAACTCACGGAAACAGTGAACGTTAATTCAACATCTAACAAACAACATTCAACTTTAAGATGAGTGTTTAAGTTCATCTCGCTGTACATTGTTAAATAAATGAATTTGATGATTAAGAAATTCTTCACATTCTTCCAGCTGTGATTGAAAACATAAACCCCAAAACTATGAAGTTATAGAATATATCAACTTATTGGTTGCTACAAACATTCAATTCTGTCAGTGCATTAATGACCTGACCACAATAAATACTTATGATATTGTCTATAAATACCTTATGAAGTTGTTGGTGACAAAACTCTGAATAAAGTTGCACCAATCAACCAGCTAGCGACTGGAGTCTACTAGTTTTCCCTTGATTTTATTATAAATATATCATAACCAATAACTCCCAACATTCCAAAAATGCAGATCATGTACTTTGATGCACTTTGGAGTTAAATTAAAACCATGTAAATGTTGAGGGACATGTACTTGAATGCATAAATTTCGTCCTTTCCTGTGGTGAATTAAACTGGAGTCGGTAAAAATCAGAATTGCGGCGTCAGACATTGGCAGAAATTTGGAAACCGGAGAAGCCTCCACTCCTCCTCTCCATCCCGTCTTCCATGTCTTTCCTCCTTCGCTTTCCTTCCCGAGGCTCCCGCTTTCCTTCGTTCTCATTCCCTCCCGTCTCGCCCGCGAGGAGTTATCAGCGCAGCCGGGGTCATTAATTAGCGGCGGGAGCGCGGTGACAAGTATTACATTGTTGGAAATTGGTTAATTACCCTGTACGTGAGCGAGGCTGCGGGTTTGTGTGTGTGCGCGGGAGTGAGACAGGAGAAAGTTGGTCTTGGTTCTGATAATCACAGGATGGAGTAATCTGCCTAAGGAAGAATGTGTGTTAACCCGTGGAGGAAAGCAGTTATTGATCCGCCTGGCTGCCTGCCTCAGAGCAGCGGAGGAAACGAGGCGATGCCGGCTGATTTATGGGGTCAGCAGAGGAGGAGCTAAAAGCAAGAGATCTGGTCTCGCTTCTTAGTTTGTGCTGAAAGTATTCTTGTTCGCTGATAAGTGAGACTCAAAAGAGTCAGTATTGTTGGGGTTTTTTGCGCCTCTATCACGAACATGCGCAAAACTTTGTCGATGTTCAGCTAATGTAAAAGAAATTGAGGTATTTTCAGGGTGCTGTGGTGGTGCAGGTGTTGAGCACGAACCACATGAGGAGGCCTCAGTCGTCGCAGGTTCGATTCCCGGCCTACTGACCATGTCTTGCTTCTCTTTCTTTACCTACTTTCCTGACTTAGGACTTTCAAATAAGTGCTAAGTTCTCTTTTTTTCTCAAAAGAGAAAAAAACCTGTAAAGATTTTTGTTTCCGTTAATTAAATTCCAATGTGAATAATTTTGTTCGTGTTATAAGTCATTAAAAAACATGCCGCGCTGTCATAATATCAGCAGTAACATCCGCTTGATTCCCATCTGACTCCTTGTTATGGAAAAAAAAGTGAAACACGTGAATTCCAGTACGGCAGAAAAACCACCACATCTTAGCGCAAAAAAAACGTTTCAGCGAAAGAAGATGAGTCGGCGTGTTTCCGTAAAGCAAATTTAATTTTATAATTCCAATTTGCACATTTTTAAGGTACATGAAAACACACCTGCAGCCGAACGACGACCTCTTCCTGGCGCAAACATTGTTTAATTAAAACTCCAGCTTCTCTTCTGCTTCTGTTAATCGAATTCCAATTCACGCAGTTTTAAGCTCAGTGGAAACGCAGCTAATAAAGCCTTTGGTTTTTACTACATTTCAGCGAGTGTGTGTGTGTGTGTGTGTGTGTCTCACGTCTGTGTTTGGAAGGTTGGTTAACCCCTACAAAAAAGCCTCCTTTGATCCATCGTTTCACCTTTGCGACCCCCCTCCCTCTTCTTTCTGCCCTTTTCCTCCACGCCCCTTCACCCCCGCGTTTGAACAGCCTAACGTTTTTAACACAAGGCCCTTTCTTGTCTCGTTCAGCTTTAGCTCCACACACACACGCGAGCAAGCACACCCCCACCGCCACACACTCTCCTGCTCTGGCTCTACAAAGGTGGGTCTGTGAGTTAGGACAGCGGCGTGTTTATTTTTCCAGCGGCCAGCGCTCCCGACAGTTGCCTTTATTGTTCATTGTTGGCGGATGGATGGAGCGCGGGGGGAGGGGGGGAACGAGGGAGGAAGAGGAGGCGCGGGGTTTGCCGGTGGGCAGCGGCGGAGGAGGAGGCGGCGGACAAATGGACGTCTTCCACCTTCTCTGGCGGTCAAAGGGCGGATCGTTCATCCCTTACTGCTTTTATTTTTTCCTTGCGTTGTCTCTTTTCTTTCTTCCACCGTCTTTCTGCTCCCGTTCTCTTCCTCATCTGGTTTGACTGGCGCAGGAATGCGTTCCTGTTAAAGGTAGCAGCCGAGGAACAATGAGGCATTGTGCTCTTCCACACACACACCCCACACACACACACACACACCCCACACTCGCACGCTGAAACAAAGGCATGTAGGCAAACATGAGTACATATGACCAGACAAGAACTCACACACTCGTGCTGATTGGGCCTCAGTGTGCCTCCCTATAACTACATCCTGTTGAATGATTTAGGCCTTGTGTGGAGGCCTGTTCGTGTGTGTGTGTGTGTGTGTGTGTGTGTGTGTGTGTGTGTGTGTGTGTGTGTGTGTAATGGAGCTGGTATGTCAGGATCTAAGGAGTCATAGGTCAGACCATGCTAAATGTGAGAAGGAGGTTGGCTGACTGCAGAGTAAACACAGACCAGACACACTCTCTTTTGCTCGGTTCTCCCTCCTCTCTCTCTCTCTCTCTTCTAAGCTTAATCACACAGAAATACAGCTTGATAGCTGCGGCTCAGTCTCCAAATGTCCCCGTAATTTTGCGGAAAACCAAATACGTTTCCTTTTGGCTTCCAGTTTTTTAGTGAGAAATGTAAATTCCCCAAACCTGGCCGCGGATTGGTTTTTGTTTGTGAAACGTATGAGCCTGGCTCTGATTTTTACATTTGCTTTTTTTTTTTTTTTTTTTTTTTTTTTTCTCCCGCTCCTGCTCCCCACCACATTTTGCCTGTTTACAAATATTTCCTCCGCCAGATTTATTTTTCCTTCTTTCAATAAGGCAGTAAAGCTGATGATGATGATGATGATGGATGGGGACTTGATTAATTGATGCCGGCCTTTTGCCTCACAGGGAAAACGGGTTAACATCTGGTTGTGCGACTCTGGAGCAGACCAATGCTCGTTATCAAAGCACATCTTCCACCGCCACGCTCCCCCCTGCTGTTAAAACCCCCAAACCAGCCATATATAAATCTAACCAACAAGCCACGGATGTCTTTACTGGGGTTTAATGTTTTTTGTTGCGTTTTTTTAATGGTGTTTTAAGTCTAGAAACTAGGATTTTCTTAAGGCATTCATAACCTTTTAAACTTTCCCCACAAACTCCTCTGTGCTTTATTAGGATTTTATGTGATGGACCGACACACATTATTGTATAATTGGCAAAGGGAAGGAAAGCGATATGTGGCGTTTCAACATATTTGGGGCTCAGCATTGATTTGTGACCAGTCCCCAAACGAAAACCCGTCATGAAGGGAAACATTCCTGATCACAGATGTTCATTTTTAAACAATTTTCAAACTATTTCCATTCATAATTCTGCACTACATTGTTTGCTGGTCTATGGTAATGATAAAGATAGGTAGATGTTTGAGGGTACGTCGTGTCAAAAAGGTCTGCAAGGTTGCAAACAATCATTTTGGTAAACGACAGTTTTATCGATCATTCTGATGATTGTTTTGGTCTCATTACTGCTCTGAGTGTGTTGTTCTTTCAGCAACCAGCTATTTTTTGTCTTTTGTATCTGTATTCTCCAGTTAGCGATTAACCCATTACTAAATTAGTTGATTATTTCAATCGATTCCTCGCGATTAATCCGATCAGTCTTTTCAGTCCTACAAGGTATCAATACTTTTGCAAATCACTCATCCCTCCACTGAACGAAGGCAAATTGTTGGTTTAATTTATATTCTCCGTTTGAGCAAAGGGGGGGAGGGAAGGTTTCATAGCGAAACCTTAGCCCAATCTTGTACTCTTCTTCAAAGTGCTAACATTTCACCTTTGACCCAACTCCCCACTCCCCTCCTTTTTTTTTTTTTTGCCCTTTAGGTACCCCAGACAGCCTGGCGGAGAAAGAGCGCCAGCTCATGGGCATGATTGGCCAGTTGAGCAGCCTGAGGGAGCAGCTTCTGGCGGCGCACGAGGAGCAGAAGAAGCTGGCCGCCTCACAAATGGAGAAGCAGAGGCAGCAGATGGAGCTGGCCAAGCAGCAGCAGGACCAGGTAGAGGAGCCCGCTGCATGTGAAGGGCCTCATTTGGAAAAGCTCCGCAGCTGAGAGCTCCATCCTAATTAGTCAGTCGCTCTGATTCTGCGCAAACAAGAATCAGGAAAGCGCCGAGTTTACCTTTAAACGGGGTAAATCCTGGCCAAAACTCACCTTCTGCGCCGTGCAAATTTGCGAAGGTAAAACGCTAGAAAAGTGGGCAACACCTCAACGGCGTGCAGATATTTGCATTCAGTCAAATGCATTTATTTATGCAGACACATAAAGAAAATAAATAGACCTTGGAAATACTGGAAACAGCGCACATTTATTTAACATGTGTCCAAAGTTTTATTTTACTGTCTTGAACAAACTGTTCCTGGGCAGTCATGAAAACTCTAGGAAAGTCTGCAATTAGATTTTTTTTTCTTCATTACCCAAGTCGGCGTAAGTGTAAAAAGAAAAATAATAATAATAAAATTTAGTGTGAAAGACGTTGTAGGAACCATGCAAAGAGACTTTTATTGCTGCACCTGGATATATAAACAATAGTGGCTTCATTAGAGAGTCTTCCACCAACATAAGTTAATGAAAACATCTGACTTTATGTGCAAGTTCTTTTACACACACCCAATTCCACATCGCATAGAGCATTAGTGAAACCGGAGAAACACACAGGAATCAGCTGAGGGCATGTTTCATTCTCACACACACACACACACACACACACACACACACACACACACACACACACACACACACACACACACACACACACACACACACACACACACACACACATCCAGGTTTCCAGGCAAGAGTCTGCCAGGTATTTGCATAGTGAAGGGTTTTCCCTTTTTTTTGTTGTTGTTGTGCTTTTTTTTTTCTTCTTCGGTTTACAAAGAGCCACACAGAGAAACGGAGATGTAAGAACAAATCACCTGTGACAAACACAAAGCATTACAGAGCCCTGGGCTGCATCTCACAGCAGCGCACAGAATGACTGTGACAGAACAAGAATGTATGTGGAAGCTGGACTCTTTAGCACGTCCCTGTTACTATATGTCATGCTGGATTTTTTTTTTTCCCCCCCCTCCAGCCTCTGAGCTTCTAACGTCTTAGCGGAGGTGTTTCGTACAAAATTTGGAACAAAGCTTGAACAATTTGCCATAAACTTGTACACAAAATCAAACATTTTTTTTTTCTTTATGCGTCGCTTTCGTACCTGTCCACAAAGGTCCGCATGCTGCTGAGTCCGGATGAGGCGAGCTTTAATATTTCATGAAGGGGCATCGACCCTCTGTCGTGCAACCGGCGGGCCTCAGAGACCCGCAGATGTGCCGCAAGCACACAAGCTCTGCGTGCACACACACTCAAAATATGCACACTAAAAAAAAAAAAAAAAAAAAAAAACGACACTGTGGCGTGTGTGCTCTGTTCCCAGATTGCCCGGCAACAGCAGCAGCTCCTGCAGCAGCAACACAAAATCAACCTCCTGCAGCAACAAATCCAGGTGAGGCCCGCTTGTGTGTGCGCGCCTGAGTGAGAGCGTGTGAATGTGAAAGTTGTGTGTGTGTGTGTGTCAGAGTGGCCTACAAAGGCAGTTTTGTGATTGTAATTGTTGCAGCTTTGCTCTGTCATCAGCACTCAGGGCCTGAATCAACATTGACTTTTATTGCAGCTCCGATGTACACAACTTGTGCAATCACCTAAAACGGGCCTGTGCACCGTGATGGATTACAGCTAATGTTTTAGCGAGCATAAAGCTGTGCATTCTACGTCAGTCGGCCGAGTGCATAAACGAGTTCCCTGCATCAAGTGATGAAACAAAGTCTTCTCAGTGAGGAAGAAAGAGGCTCCTACCAGGTGCATTTATGAATAGCCACTTATAGTTTTAATTTCTGAGAAGGAATAACCTAATTATGTCTCAGAAGAATTTGGGCTGTGTTGGCAAAAAATAAAAAATAAAATAAAGTGACTAAAAAACAACAAAAGAAGCAAGTTTCCACTTTGCAGCTGCTCTGCAGAGGTGAGGGAGGAAAAGTTAGTGTTCATGCTGTTCTCCTCTGAGGGGAGAGGTGGCACAGACTGGCCAACTTTTCATGAAATATAACTTTTTAACTGATAGATTTTTGAAAGCGGATGAGTAAAGCTGAAAATAATGAGCAACTCGGCGCCTCGTTTCTGTTAACCAGGGGGAAGCATAAGCATGTCGGTGTTTTATAGATCGCAGTGACCCCCTTGAACTTTTTCACTTTTTGCCACGTTATGACTGCAACTTTGTTTTCCATTAGGATTTTATGTGCTGACCCAACTAGAAGTAAAAGGGGGTTTGTGGTTGTACTTGCATAAGGGTATCAATAGATGTCCAACATTTTTAGTATTGGACATTTTTCCATTTTTATTTAGCTTCGTCTTGGTTCTGAGAGATGCTTTCAGTCTTCAACAGACCGAAGGGCACATTTTTCTTCCCATTATTATCGTTACACAGTCTGAGTTTGGGACTCATTTAATCCCAAACTCAGAATGCAAACTCAATTTCCCGTTTTTCAGCGCATATTTGAAACGTCCAAATCTAATCATGACCAGCATAAAGAAGAACCTTAAATAGACTCGCCGAGTTGCTCGTCCTTTTCAATGTGAATCTTTGTCTCCTGCTTGAGAAAGGGGTGGGTATATATCTGAGCCTTTAAAAATAGAAGTATTGTACTTTAGGGTGCTACACTGGAGCCTCTATTTTGGTCCAGGTGGCTTGGAACGAAGAGCCTGGGACTTTGTAAAGGCAGATGACACTGAATTTTAAACTGAGAAAGCGGGGCTTTGTACCATAAAGAGACACTCTGTCCAAGAAGGAGCGCACACACGCACATTCTCCTTCCCCCAAGAGTATAGCCATACACAGTTTGTGTGATAAGAGACCTTGTGATTGCATGTGCGTTGGACATTTGTCTGTCCATGATTTCGTGCAAAGCAGTTTATTTGCTTTGTGCGAGTTAAAGTCGGCATTGTTCACGTTTTGTCTCTTTTGACAAAAAAAAAAAAGAAAGAGAGCACATGTTTGTTTCTTAGGGTTCCTCTGTGCCTTCTTGATGCTTTCATTTCTTCAGGAGTGTGCGTGTTTTGTGTGTGTGTGTGTGTGTGTGTGCGTTCTGCTGCAGCTGTGTGTGTGTTAAGCTATAAACACGTCCGCTCATGATTCACTCCCTCACGACCCCGCCGAGACAAAGCTCTCTTTTCCCATGACTTTGCAACCTTTTCCCAAACAAGCGTCTCTCCATTGAACGCGCTCAACAATAGTTTCTCACAAGCAGGGGCAGCTGTAGGCAGCCTCGTTAAGAGAGGGACACAATCAACAGGGGCTCATCACAGGAGCTCTGAAATCGCACATTTTCACACAAATTTCACATCAACACACAGGACAAAAACGGAGCTAAAACGTGAAATATTGGGCATCGCTTGCTGGCGCACACGTAGTCGGGGTAGAGTCGATGATCAAACACGCACTCATCATCAAAGACTTGGTCGAGAAATGCACTGCTTAATCATTCATGAAGAGATTGTCCACACAATCCCACAATACAATGGCCTGCCAGGGCGAGGGCACCAGGTTCAGTGTGTTGGGGTGTGTGGGTGTGCGTGTGTGTTTTGTGCCAGCACGATAAGCCCCTTGTGATTGCGTTCCCCCCTAACGAGGCTGAGTTCAGCTGTCCCTGCGTCCGCGCGCCTTCGCCCGTGTGCGTCCCGTCCTTGGCTTTGTTGGGCTCGAACCCCCAAAGGCCCGCGAAGAATGCTTTCAACCGTCCACTCGGAAGAGGTGATGAAACGAAACGAATTATAACGCTCATGAAGAAGAGGAGAGAGTGACACACATCCTTCATGTATGGAGGACAAATTATTTATTGTCCTCGTGTTGGGTTTCCTGTTTTTTCTCGCCCTGAAACCCCGAAAGAAGTTTGCAGTATCATTGCCTATTTAGGCCAAAGGCGCTCTCGGAATTAGCATGCAGAGGAAGTGATGATAGCGGCCCAGGCTAACGATGCACTGCAACATTCGACAGTCATTCTAACTGATTATACAATGCCTTTTAAATCTAGTAGTTACTTTTTTAGCTTTTGACAGGTGTGAACCAAAACCTTTAATGTGTTTTATTGGTATTTTCGTGGTGAAACCATAGATTTTATGTAGCATAACAGCAGATAGCAGGTTAAAGGACTTGTTCTCGTCGAAGTTGCGGGACAAAATAGCGTCCTTATTTATTTTATGTCGTCCAGAAGCCGGTTCTTCAGCCAGAGAGCAGGATGGATAGTTTTGAGAAGCAATTGTCTGAGACGGTGAAGAAGTATGTACCGTCGGACAAAAACCGCTGGACTCCTTATGTCCAGTCCTTGTCCAGTGCAGTGGACGAACAACCCAAATACACATTCTGTCATGAAATATAAAATGAGATGTTGCATCTCTTCAATCATTATTTCCTCCAAACTTATGAACTTGTAAAAGTCATCTGTTTCACAGGAACTGGTGGAGCTTGAAGGGTGTGTGCAAAATCACACATTCTAAAACCACTTGACCATTCTGCGACACTTTGAATTGGGTCCAACCTGCTCCCTTTATGGTTAATGAGACCGTAAATGGAGCTAAAATCAACGCAATACTGGAAGAAAACTTGTTAGAGGCTGCAAAGGCTTTGTACAATACAGCCAGAGCTACAGTGGAATGGTTTTGGTCAAGATATAGTTGTGTGTTGGAATGGCCAAAAGAAACCATCACTTTTAAGCCAACCGGACCACTGAGCCTAACCTGAAATCTAAACCGTAGCATAAGCCGTGAGTCCTCCAAAAAACACTTTACTTGATAGTTTATCCTCTGCAGAGGAAAGAAAACTGACCTTCACGTTCTACATTCAATCCTGAGGTGCAGCTCTTGTGCTAATATAAGAAATCCCAACACAAGCGTGTGAATTATGTAGAAACAAAAAAAGAGAAAAAAAAAACACGTTCCCTCACACATTACCTCCTGCTGGGGGCCATCTTGTTAAGCTGGAAGAGGTGAGCGCATTTTCTTCGAGCTCCCTTTACTTTCCGTCTCGTTCTAATTAAAACGACTTGTCCACGAGGCCCCCACCTGGAGCCGCTCAGGACGGCTGCTGGGGCCGCGCGGGGAAGCGCGGCGGGGATGAAAGGAGCTCACCTGCCGAGCGGCTCGGGGCTTACCTTGGGAGCGAGCGCACATGTTCAGAGAGCAGCCGCGCACACAGACATTGTGTTCTGAAACAAGAGGGACGAGCGAATGACAAAGTGTCGGCCCTAATGAGTCAAAAGCTAGTCAACCAAAACGCGCGGGCACAGTGGAGCGTACTGCGCGTGTCGTCTTTCATCTCAAGATTCACCGCAGCTGTAGGTTCCATATCAATGAATGAGAGGAGATTCAGAACAAAGCGAAAACCACTTGATGCTTTGACAGGTTTAAGAAGGGTCAGAACCGCAGAGGACAGTCGCTAACAAGCTTGTTATCAACCTTGGTGGCAACTCTTCAGATCATGTCGGAAGGAGGGGGAAAGAAAGGAGAAAGCGCCTCGTGTCGCCCACAAAAACACAGCCAGTACCTCTGTATCCCTTGCATAGCTGCACCTAGCCCAATTGGCTGTGTAATTGTTTAATCACAACCATTACACAGCAGCCCGAGTAATTTGTGCTTTCCGTTCACACTGTATGACTCTGTGTCCGTGCGCGGGCTCACGCACCCGTCCCACTGAGATTCTGCCACCCTTTCCGGGCCTGAGAAACACACACGTACACACTCTGGTCTGTGGATCCCTTTGCCATCCGAGCGTTATTTCCTCCTGAACGGTGCCCCAGCATTCACAGGGGACCGGCCTCATCTCGCCGTCCATAGAAAGTTAATGGACTAATATGAAACAGCGGCCATATCTCCGCTTCCCTTTTTCTCTCCGCCCAAATTAATTATTGGTTCTATTGCTCGAACGTCACCTCTTCCGCAATAGGTCGATCAGGTCTTGCATTAATTGCCGTAACATATGGTCGCCAACAGATTTTAGCTGTGGGACTCGCACTTTAGCGGGGGCTATTTTTTCGCGCGCTCAGATGCGAGCCATATTGTGCGGTGCTGGCAGCTATTGTTCGGCGCATTAACTTCATAGAGCTAATTACTCCCCAATAATAACTTTACCTTGGAGTTTTTTTAGCGCACCGCGTGCCAACCAACCTGTTTCGCACCCCATATGTTAATTAGCGGCCACATCTTCATTATGCCGCAGCGGCGCTTTAAGTTCAAGCTGTGCCGCCTGGCGCGTGGTGAACGCAGCCTCAGCTCGCTGCCAATTATCCAACTCCTGCTCCCCTCTCTGAGTCTTCCTCACGCTCCTTCTGCCTATCTTGTTCATTCTGTTGTTTCTATCTGCTGCTTTTTTTCTTTTTCTTTTTTTTTACAAAGAAAAAAAATGAAAAAATCCTGAGAATTTGTCTTGCCAGGGTGAATTCTCTCTTCCCGTCCTCTTTGACCCTGTGAAAGTTCTCAAGATAAAGTCTCACACTTGTTCCTCGTGTATGTTTGCGATTTTTCTCCTCTCCTCTTCCCTCTTTTTAACTCAGAGTGGCTTTCCTTTGTTATCTTTTGGGCTATCGCTGATTAGAGGAATTTTGCAGATGAGTCGCAGTCGTGTTTGCTTCAGGTTTCTCTCTCGGACGTGAAAGCGCGTGCCGCGCTTCTAATCCTCCACGTCAGCAGACTGCAGAAGCAGCAGTGTGATCTTTTGTCAGTGTGTGCTGTAGGTTTTCATGTTCGCTCTGGGCCTGATGAGAAAGAAAAGCTGAGGAGAGCATTATTCCCTAAAGTGCCCACTGTTTCAGATCTCTCTTCCTTTATGTAAAAAAATCTGGAGATTGTCTCGTAGATCTGGCCTCTCTTTGTTCCTTTCAACGTTATTTTCCTTTTCTTTCAGTCAATTCATCTTTGTCTCTGATTCCCGTTCTCTAGTTTACAGAGGGCCCCTCCGTCCCCCACACACTTTAAAAGTTTATGATGATTACAAAACTCACATGCAAAAAACTTTTAGCTCATTTTAAGGAATTATGGAGCTATTATGAGCAGAACTTTTTTTTCCTCTTGGATGTACAGAAACGGAAACAGAAACTTAGATATCAGGGTCAATGGAACACAGTGAATATATATCTACCTCGTTTTCATCTTTTATCACATTATGAACACAAACGTCAACATACTTTATTTGATGCTCAAGTGCAAACCTACCAAGATGTGGTTGTCTCTTTAAACTGGCATCCTGGACAAGGAGATCATTAGTTTGAGAAGCAGAAAAAGTGATTCGGTTTGTTGGAAAACTGTCAGACTCAGAGCCAACTGGAGAGGATGATTTTTCAACTTCACAGTGATGCACTATAGTTCACTATTCCATACTGTTTCATGGTAAAGAGTGCTGAGAGCTTCTAAAATATTTGGAAGAAAATAGAAGTTGGAGAGCTGAAATACCTAATTGCGATGCTACTTGACATGTAGCATCCAGAAGCAGCATTTATTTTCCTTGGCGCTGATTAGCCGAGATAAGGAAGACTGTAGATATTAGGGATGAGTCAAATGATGTCATTTTTATTCCAAACAAATATGTAAAAAAAAAAATGCCAGAGAAAAATGAAAAAAAATAATAATCTAAGAAAATAAAAGTAGGAATGAAAACCAAACATAAAAGGAGTATGAAGAAGCCAAGGCTTACTTAACCCAACCTCCGGCTGACTCATCCAGTCTGTACATAGCGTCAGTGTAATAAAGCAGAAACTCTTGAATGTTGGTGTGTGTTTTAGGCTGTTCCATGACCTGCGTTTTCTGCTTTCTATGCGCCCCGTTCACAGTCAACATGTGTCTGTTCCAGTAAGCGTGGCGGTGCTGCTCATCAGCTCCACAGCTGTTGCAGAAATATCTGCAACATATGGACCAGAATGTTGCACTAGAAACCTTCCCCGGTGTTGATCTATAGCTGCTTTTGTGTCTCTTTCTTGTCCTTTTGTTGCCCCCCCACCCCCACGGCCTGTTTTTTTTTCATATTGTGGAGACTGAATATGTTATGCAACAGTTCTGTAGGCTGATTAATGTCTGCCCATTGTGTGCAGGCTTTTTGTTACGAGATCAAAAGAAAAGAAAAGATAAGAGAGGAGAGAAGCCTTGGATGCTTTGAAGGGTTTTCTATGATAATTTCAATTGCAGAAAGGAAGAAGCAGAGCCTCGTGCGCGCGCTCTGACATCACACGCTCCATACGCACGTCTCAAACTTATCGTCCTGCTTTTCCCTCTCCTCCCTTTGGTACGATACGGTTTAGCTAGCCAGCCTCGCTGCTCCAGCATATGTCCAATTAGGCCTGAAAGGCAAAGCAGAACAGTTCTGTCTGTGATTCGTCCCCGCGGGGGTCCAGTCCGCTGCCTGATCGCGTGGCGCACAGGCGGCGCGGCGGTTTATGATTACTCCCCCAACCCCCCCCCCAAAAAAAGAAAAACCGGTGAAGTAATTATTGTTTTTGGTGTAAGAGAAGAAGGCGGGGGTAGGGAAGTTGCTTGAAGAGAGCGCCGTTCCCCCTGCGCCGTGATGGTTTGATTACAGTGCTGCCGACGGTCGCATGCCAACACGTAGGAGCAGCAGGAGAGGATGGCAGGGTGGTGGTTGAGGGGGGGTGTACTTACTGAACACCGTAAAAGCGCTGTTAGTACTGAGTGACACCATCTCCAACACTAACCACTTCAAGTGCTGAGATATTACCTGATTGTACCGTGGCACCACCAGCACCACCTTCCTTCTGATTGTGCTGCCGTTTCCGTCGTTCCAGATCAATTTTCCACATCAGACAGCTTTTACCTGCCCATTATCCTATTCAGCCATTACCTCTCTGGCCTCCTGGCAAAATGAAAGCGACAGAGCAGAGGAAGGGAGGGAGATGAGCTGCGAGGAGGGGAGAGCGCTTACAAGCCAGAAACATGCAGGTCAAAGGCTTTAAGGGTTGGATTTCAGGGGGAATTTTACCAGTTTGTCGCTTTTATCTCCACAAACCTGTCCTGGTTAGTCCCAGAAAAAAAAAAAAAACGTATAGCTGTAATGTGTAGGATAAGTGGTGAGACTGAAGGACCTGCTTCTACTTCTCATTTATTTCAGTACAGTGTAGGCGAGCGTTGTATTGTTGCCATCCCGAAAGACTCAACAGCAAAACCGGTGGCCTCGCTCCGACTTCAGCATCACACCAGCTCTCATGTAGAGAAGATCCATTTCATATCCACCTTCCTCCTCTCTCTTCCCCACTTCCCCTCTCATCCTTAGCTGTCACTCAGTCCATCACATGCGAGTCTTTGTGTGTTGTTTTTGGCAGAACGCTGTTTAGTGCAACCATCTGTCTCCTCCTTCTCTCTCTCTCTCCTGCCGTCTCTGCCAAAGTCACCCAACGGAGGAGACTTTTTTCTTTCTTTCTCTTCCTGCGTCTCCTTTTCAAATCCTGGAAACCTTATGAAGCCGTATGGCGCTCTGCCGACGGGCGCGCGCAGAGCATTGGGTTAGCGAGCTTTTTGGTTCGGTGCGGAGAGAAGAGAGAGAACATTATCTTCCAAATAAAAGTAAAAGCCCAGCTGTTGGTACAGTTTAGTGAACTGTCCTTATGGCTTGAAGTGGCAGGTCTTTTTGTTAGTTTCTTTCTCCAGTTTCTAATGTATTTGTGGGGTAAAACCAAATCTGCTAGACATTTCAAATGTCTAACATAAAAGAGACCAGATTTTTTTTATTTTTGTTGTTTATTTTTCTTTAATCATTTGGTTGGTCTGGTTTCCTAATTTGCTTGACAGGAACGGGCAAATGGGGTATTCTACTTCATAATTAAAACAAGAATAACCCAGAACTTTATAAGGTAACAAAGTAGACGAGCTACGACAATATTATAGATAAAAATGTCAAAAAAACCAACAACATCCAGTTTTTAAGCAAGGCAATCTGTTTCCTGACTTTGTACATGCACACTATTGTTTCTGTGTTTCTTTCCACCTCCTTATTCTTATCTCCTATCCCCTTCTTACCACTTTTACCCACCGGCCTCCTTTCCCTCCTTCATCAGCAGGTCCAGGGCCAGCTCCCTCCACTGATGATTCCCGTGTTTCCTCCTGACCAGCGCACCCTGGCGGCCGCCGCAGCCCAGCAGGGCTTCCTAATGCCCCCCGGCTTCAACTACAAGCCCGGCTGCAGTGAGTGGCATCAACACTCACACACCTGCAGTTTTCTTGCACTCTCACATTTGATCAGGGTGGAATGATTGCATTTGGACTAAGAACTTAAGTGGATTAAAAATGAAAAGAATACATTGCAGAAATCTGGATGTTTAATCGGTCTTATCAAAAATAGTACAACTTCTTAGTATAATCCATGAACTTTACATAGGCTCAGCGTCGGGGCCATTCAGGAACACGAACTTTAAATTGAAGTGGAAGACCAGCTCACTTGTCTATGGTAAAGTGTTCGGCCGCTGTAGATTTAGAGGGTGCCGACCAAGAAAGACGATCTATAGAAAGGTTTTATTGTTTAGGTGAGGCTTTAAACCAAAGACTACTGTGGCATCCTCGTGGTGTGAGTCCGTTTTACTACTTGTGATACTGTTGTTGCACAAAGGGAGTAGAATAATGGAGGAGTTTTATTATAGTATTATTTTACCTCATATAATCAAATGACAGGTGGTTAAAACTTTGACCAAATTGGGTGTTTTAACAGGACACTAGGCCCAAAACGCACATGAAAAGTGGCTCATTGCTGGAATGACTTCAACTCTGTTGGACATTTCTTGACTTTCCTTAAAGCCTGGTGCCAAGAAGTCAACTCATTCAGGCAAACCGTTTCATATTTGATTGAAAAACGGGCAAATTGTTTGCTGTACAATCATGCCACCCTAGAAAAGAAGATCTTGGATGAATACGCTATCCGGTGAGGAGCGTTTGTAACTCTGACTGCATGCGGAGTCAGGAAGAGAGGCGACCTTCAGACAAAATAACTTTCATGTTTCACTTGTTGTCCACCGAGAAAGGTAGAAGCTGAGCGTTCTCCCACATGATGAGTCTGGTTGCTTCCCAAAAGGCGAGCTCGCCCTTACAACAACATCTCCCTCCTAATAGAAAAACCAGTCCAAATACAGCCTTCCTGTTTACACTCAGTATCTCTCCCGCTTTCACTCAGTCCTTTTGGCTCCTTCCTTTTGTCTTGTCTATTTTTTGACATATAAAAGCAACAAAATGAAGGCGTTCTGCAGGACTTTTTTTTTTTTCTTCTCTTGGCCATTACACTCCGGCTGTGTGGCAATGTGTTGTTTACCATGATAGCGAGAGAGAGACAGAGACAGAGAGAAAGAGACTGTTGCTTGCCAGGGGATGCTGGGAATAAATGCACAGTGGGGGGGCTTGCAGAAGGGGGGTAGAGGGGTGGTAATGTGACCTGCCCCAGGTTCTCCTCACATTAACACGGGACGCAGCCAAAACGCGTTTCCAACACAGCCCACATGCACTAGCGCACACGCAGACACACTCGCGTCTCAAACACAGATAGAGGAGATGAAATTTATCGAAAGAAACTTCCACAGTAGCGCAACGAGAACACAGGCTGGTGAACCACCGGAACACCCGCCCCAAACCCCACCCCACTTAGAGTTTCACAGCTTCCTAAACAAGTCCACTCCGTTTTAATTAGTGCCATCTTCACCCACACCCACGGCCCACGTAAATACCCTAACAAGTAGTGGGCCTGTCTTTTCGCTGCCTCAGCCAACTCCAACCGGACTGGCACACTGTCGCAGGCCAAGCCGCCCCTGAGAAAACTCTCTGGCAACTTTGGAAGTTGTTGTGAAGCGGTGCGGTTTGGTGCGGCGAGCTCTAAATAGGGCATGTGTAGCATTGTGCTCAGACATATTCTCATGGCGCTGCCGAAGATATGAATAGATGTCATGCGTGCATTATGGACCTCTGAGCACCGCTCAGCTTGTTTGGACAGCATCAAACTCCACTTTCTTTGACTAAAACTGAAAATTTATAAACTCACATTATCAAATGGATTTGATTTAAATGTCTTGACATATTAGTCATTAAATCAACCATAAACTGATGACTACTTTATTCAATGAAATAGTGAAAATCTTTTTCCAGTCTGTTTCCATAACAACTGTTAGACGATGTTTTTATGTCAATCAAATGTTTGGAAGGAAAAATCTTCTGTCCCACCATCATAAATGTAAACAGACACAGTTCAGTAATCTCTACTAGGACTTTAACTGTCTTTGCCGTACATAAAACTAAGATAATTCCCAGAAAACGTTAAAATTGATTGTCGTTAAAAAGAGGAAAATATTCTCATCTCAAAAGTTTACCAATTACATGAAAAGTTTCCTGCACCTAAAATAACATATCATGTTTCTGTTGAAACGTGTTCAGAAGCTTTGTCCAAAACTTTGGTGAGAAATTTGGGAACCGCTTTCACGACTTTCCTAAAAGCCTCTCTTTGACGATCGAACCGGACTCGTGTGCTCCTAACGATTTTTCCTACATCTCCAACCTGTGTGAAACGCGACACCAGGTCGAGACGGACCGTCCCTGCTTTATTTCTCCCTCTTCGCTCCATTCATCTTCGTCTTTCGTCTGGTTGTCGGTGAGAAATCTCAGCCTGGTTGGCCTCTGTCCCCGAGCCAAGAGCAACATGTTTGCTTTTCCCTGTCCCTCTCCCTTTTGTTACAGCGACCCCCAGGAGGAGCATAAATATCCACTGGACTCATGTTTGCTTAGGAAGCAAGTAGAAAAGACCAATCTCCTAGAATACACAGTCCTGAAATAATTTGTTAATCCCTCCTGCCCTCTCCCCACTGGAAACAAGAATGTCTCGGTTTCGCTTTTCGTTGTTTTTCGTCTCTAAAGAGATGGGAAAATATGTCGTAAGGAGAGTCTGGCTTATGCCACGCTAGGATGCACGCAAACACATACAGATTTACATACACACGGTGCTAGAGCCGAGAGGCTGACCCCTGCTCTGAAGGTTCAAGCCAGAGATGCAAGTTCAGGCCCAGAGAACATTCTCAAGTTTTCTCCGCGAATACTGAAGTTTTCCTGGACGAAATCAAGCCTGACCTCCTCCGTGTAGTGCACTGTGGTTAGCTGGTATTTTTAAACGCAAATCGGAGCAGTATGTTTACACAATATGATCATAATTAAACAATATCCTTTCCACATTCTCCCCTCCTCATCTCTGACCTCTTTGTTCCCCCCGACTCTGCCTCTCAAAGTAATTACAGCCTATCTGGAACCTACGAACTAAGAACACGACTTATCCTTTTTCTGTCTTGCTGTCGTCACTTCACTCCTATTATGTCTGTTTCATACATCTATTTTTCCATTTCTTCTTCCTGGAAGAGGGGAAATGCTTTGATGAAGAAGAAGATGAAGAAGAAGAGGCCAACTTGTGGAAAGCAAAAGATGACAAACAAGAGGACGAGCCACCTGAAGCAGAACAAACAGCAGAGGGTAGAAAACGGAGGAGAGGGGGAGAACAGCAATCAGTGTTCGCAGCTCTTAATTACGGCGCTGGGGCCGGCTTCATCAGAATCCCCTCACCTCGCTGCTCTTTGTCAGGGGGTATTAAGGAGGAGGACACACAATCGGGCTTTTCATTAGGGCCTTACCGGCAGGGCACACAAAGGAGGGCTTTAACAGCTGCAGAGGGACTCAGGTGGTGGAAGGGGGAGGAGGAGGAGGAGCGAGGGATGAAGGTGGGATGAGTACAATAACATGATGCACAAAAACAGTGGGAGCCTTAAGGGAGTAAAACAGGATTATTAGGCTTGAGCCTTTATCGTGATAAGAGTTTTGATTTATCGTTAGAAATTGGAATTTTCTTGGGATAAAATTCCAATTTTATTCCAATAAGGAAGTTATTGGAATAAAATAACTGGGGGGTGCTTGAAAGATCCCCCAAAACTGTCCCTATTTTCAGGATTGGTAACTATTTCCTCTGTTGTTTATTCAATAAAGCATCAATAAATATGAAAATACAGTTTCAGCGTGAAGTTTAGTGACATAAGTTACACTTTTTTACATGATCGGTGTCATAAACAAACATTATAAACAGGACAGGAATGTTTTTCAAGATTATTTGTGGGGGTTTTTAGAGGCTGTAACTGCTGTGACACTCAATATACACTTAGGAATGATATAATAAATATTTCTCACTGTTACTACAACAGTGCAGATAAATGTCAGGATAAAACTTAAAGTCCACACAAGGATAAAAACAGAAACTAAGGAGCAACCAGTGCATGAAACACACCTGAATGATGTTTTAATGCAAGGCTGCAAAGTTAAAATATATATATATTTGTTTTCCTCAGGTGACCCCTACCCTCTCCAGCTCATCCCCACAACAATGGCCGCCGCCACGCCCGGCCTGGGGCCCCTGCAGCTACAAGTAAGTCTGCATCACCCGCTGAAATACGCCAGAGGGCGAAGCATGCAACTCGAGTCAAACGACTCTTACACTCTAAAGAAAACACTTTTCAGTCCCCCCTCTCTTCCGCGGTGAATGCGGTCATTGTGAATAAATTCCTGAAGCCCGGCAGCGTTCACACAACATACTGCTGCTCCGCGCACAGCCGCAAGCAGAGTGGCGGGCAGGAGGGGACGCACAGCTGTCACTTTCAGCCAGAGTGTTGGACATCAGAGAGAGAGACTGCCGGAACGTGATCTCCATGATCAGACATGGAAAATCACACGGATCTGACAAATGCAACCTTCGCCTTTGGCTTTTCCTGAGATAAAAAGCGAATGAGATTGATGTTGTCCTGTAGTGAGTGGCTGACACGGGTCAGCACACGTAGGGGAGAGTTATTCAGATAAACCATATTGATTAATCTGGACTTTTCCCTCTCTGGTCACAGCAAACGTTCAACTTTTACTTGTCTTGAAATTGGCTTTGAATCTTGGAAGACAAAAGCCTTCATGAATAGTAGAGCTGTATTCAACTTAATTAGAAGATGTAGGTGAAATAAAGCAGCAATGATTTTCTTAATCAATAGAGAATTAAAATTATTTTTTGACGCCATTATTCAAAGACATGGTATTAGAGAAAGCGTACATTTATTGCTTAGCAGTTCAGTGGAAGATCAGTAAAAATATATAAAAGTAAACTCTAGTAAGAGTGCATCAAAATCACTTCTGGGGTCCCTCAAATTTCTGTCATTGGTCCTTAAATTATTTATACTGTACAGTAATGAAATCTGAACTATTTCCTTTTTGGTTTTTTTGCATGTAAAACTAATTCATGCTGCTCTGGAAAGAACCTGGAAGGAAGAAAGAAAAACAGGACAAACTTTCCTCAAAATGCTGGAAAAAAAAAAGTTTATCTGCAGTTGCTGTTAAAATATAGGTGGATTTATATGTCTAGATACAAAGACACAGTTTTCTAAATATTTACATGGTATCTGCATGCTGACAGCAGCCAGGTTAGGTCAAAACAGCAAAGGCAGGAGTGCAGAGGGAAACCAGGGAAAGAGTCATCTGCTATCCCACTTAGAAGCAGGATGACTGTGCGTTTGGTCCGTTTTCAAGCAGAACATCACACAGTTTCACCACAATCCTCACGGGCTCCGTGGCCCTCCTCTCTCCGAGGTTAACAGCCTGTACGGGTGTCCCATCAGCTGCCTTTCTAAAACACATTAATCTCCGGTATTGGGCTCGTCACCTCTGCCTCCTCGATGTGAATAATTATTAAATGTAACACACGTGCGCACACAGATGTCTGGCTGGGTGCAGCTGTTTTGACACATGCAGGTCGTCATGTACATTAACACGTCTTTTTGCTGACCGCAAACACACACACACCCACAGAGAATGACGGGAAAATACGGGTTAAGGAGTTAGACACAGTGCGCGCGTAATACATTTGCACCTGTCAGCCAAAAGTGCCGCCCCATATGCTAGACACTACAGGGAGAAAGCAATAGCTGTGTAACTCTATCATGGAGAACGGGCCCCGCTGTCGACGCTGATTTCATTATTACTCGCGTGTGTGTATGTGTGTGTTTAGCCGGAGAATAATGTTCTCTGTCTGCGCTTCAATCCAGCTGTCCATATGTTCGCTTAAAATCAGCTCAACAGCTTTGTCCACCTTAGTTTGGTTTTTTTTTCCTACTAGTTTGGAGAGGTTAAAAAACACACAACTAGTAGAAAAACAAATCATCTCAGTAACAGATTTTGTCCTCACACTGACAGAGTCGCCTGATGAGATTAAGGCTTTGTCAGAGAGGAGCAGATTTGCCTGGGCTAACACGAGTGCAGATGTCTCGGCGTGGATGGATTTCCTCCGGGGCGGTCACGGCGCCCCCGTTTGATAAGGAGGTGTTTCTGTTGCCGAGACGAGACGCGGCGATAACCTTAGTGCTTCCGCAGAGAGAGGAGACACACACACACACACACGCACACATCTGACACGCTGCGTCACAAAGGCACCGACAAAAACAAGCCAAAAGTGCCTGGTTAGCATGCAGAGACATAGTGATTACATATGCTAATATTCTAATTGCCACAATGATTTGAGTACTTTCACCACAATGCTAACACTAATGTGAAGGCAATATGAAGCTGGTGTAATCGCACTATTGAAGGGCATCCTAGACCCCTACTGACACAATATAAGATCTGAAGCAGTTGGAAGCACCCTGCTGTGGACAACAAAGGGCTGCCAACTGTTTCCATTTCTGCTAATTCTTAATTAACCTTTATGTTAGGAAGGGAGAAAAATAGATAAAAAGCTAATAAGGGCCACTAAGCAAGCAGTGTCAACCTTTTAAGACCAAAACATTTTGAAAATGTCTTCTTATTTCCATCAGGCCAGACAGGGTAAACCTTAGACTTCTCACTCTCGTCCTTTGAATATCTTTCTGAAACGAAACTGTAAATGATCTACGAGTCATAAGTCATGATCTATAAGTCAAAAGGGCAGAGGTTAAAGATCAGCATAAATGTTGCCTACAGTATACACGGTGTTTCAAATCATCATGGAAGTGATATTTTCTCAGGTGGCCATTTATTGTATCGTTTATCATTTATCGTGATCGTTTGTTTAATTTATTGTAACAGTAAATTCCAATTGAGTACTGATACATTTGAAGTTACGATTAAATATCCGTTAACGTCTGCAGCTATGTGATACAAATCACACTTCTTTATATGAGACTGGCGTCATAAAGCAGCCTGATGCAAATGTGAATGTTTTTCAAGAGCAGTTGTGTGTTCGTGGGTCACAACCACCAACACACAGAGGCAACTGTGTGTCACAACCACAAAGTTACCTCAAATAAATAGTTCATATCGTCACATTTATCTCTACCACAATAGTACCACAAAATATGACGATAAAACTTTACGTCTGTATTGCAGATCCCTTCTGCTTTGTCTACATTTAGGTTTATTACACCAGTGGAGGTAGAAAAATCTAGCAGATGAACTGGCATGGGAAAAAAAAACATTGTATGAACAATTTTTGATAGATGACGCTGGCTCTCTTCACAAACAGCTGCTGCATGTTTTATTATTATTTCCATAAAGTGGCTCTCAAGTGAAGGCATTTTGAAACTATTCCCCTCGTCGACTGATGCATACTCTAGATAAGAGGCGAGGAATCATGCTTAGAAACTCGATTTTTGACCCGATGACACTCCATAGCAAGTGAATACACGGGATAAAAGACAACTAAGAGGAGATCTCTCAAAAGCCCCGTGATAAGTGCATTTCTTAGAGAAAATGTTTTAATCTCTGATTTAATGCTCTTTCTGCCGTCTTCTTTTCTAACAGCCTCCATAGAAATGTGCAGACTGGCTCTCCCAGTCAATAGTGGCTTAACACAGAATCCTCTACAGAAGGTTTTTAAAGCAATGGAGGCTTTGGAGTGTGCAAGGTTGGCATTTAGCATCTTAATCTGAGAGATGAGTGGGACATTGTGCATTAGAGCATATTAATCTGACTCCCTATTGGCCCTTCATACATTGATACAGTTATCATTCACATCAAACAAATGGCGAAAGAACAGACTAGGGAATGTTGATAATGCCGTAAAGGATGAACATCCAGAGGATCAGTTGAAGGGAGGAACTGATAAAAAAAAGAAAGGGTGGGGAAGGAGGTAGGTGGATGTGTGAGCGGAAGAAAATGTGTGTGTGCATGTGTGTTATAAAGAGGGTCAACAGCGTGGGTCAGGCATCATATGGAGAGGCAGATGTTGGAACATATTGTCCTGGATTATCGCACTGTACTCCGGAGACGTAGATGGACGAACAACGGGTAGACAGATAGAGGATGGGATGAGGAGGGAGGGAGAGATGAGAGGAGGTGGAGGAGAAATCAATGGAGTAGCTCGTCTCTGTACATAAACCTTATCTGGGAAGGAGTGAAGTAACAGCAAAGCAGTTTTCCTGGACATGGGAATTCTGTCTGTGTTAGTATCTCTCCTAACGAAGGTGATCATTGATTCCTGGAAATATTCATGATAAGCTAGGACAAGTGGTGGAATCAATCAAGGCTGTACAGATAGCTGGTATGCTAGCAAGGTTCTGTTTTTGTGGCCCGATTTTTTCGTTTTCTATCACAACTTTGAAACCAAATCAAACTTCAGCACAACTTAATTCGTTTGTTGTATTATGTGCACAAAAAGCCTTTGAGCTTCTTATTTTGATTGGTGAACAAACATTACCAAGAAGGCAGGGGAAAACAGCAGACAGGTCGAGGATAAAGCAATTCAGAAGTTTGAAACAAGTTAACTCTTTTCTATGGCAACCGTGGAGGAGCTACAGGCATCCACAGCTCAGGAGCCCAATCAAGTTATTATCTTGAGTTAGAACTACCTAGTCAAAGTAAGGACCTAAAGTCATCCAAGAATCTGTTGCGAGACTTAAAATTATTTTTTAATTGGTAATAATCTGGCTGGTAAAGCTGGTGAGCAAATGCTTAAAAATAAAAAATAAAAAATGTTGAATTCGTTTAAAAAAAAAAAAAAAGCACAGAGTCTAAGCTTAAAAACGAAATTGAGTTATTAAAAAAATAGTTTTTTTGTTTGTTTTATTGCTACTTGAAGTCTATAAATGCTGGCTTTGTTGTCTCTTAAAGTACAAGAACATTTAATCATCACTGTGAGAAATGCACAGTGGTGGAGGACAATCCATTCAGATCCATACAAACTCCCCTTGTGTCCATGTAAACAATACACATTGCTAGCTAGCTCAGACAGTGAGGATCAAGTGAGTCTGTAATCTGTCTAAAGCTGCAGATTATTGACAATGACTCAAATACACACACACACACACACTGACTGCAACAGGATACACACCGTACGGAGTCAATAGCGCTAATACCAAACAGTCACCCTATGTCTTCAGTTGAGAATCTCCATTGTCCATCAGTAGTGTGTAGTGTGTGTGTAGCAGTATATGCTACAGACACACACACACACATGCACTCAGTGCGTCAGCAAGGGCAAGAAGCACTCACTGACCACTAAACATGTTACCATGAGCTTACACAAACATATGCAGATGTTGCTGGTCTCACATTAGGGGATTAAGGACAGAAGGAGAGAGAAGCAGGTCTTAATGGACGTACACACTCACACACAACCACACACTCAGAAAGCAGTATGCCTGGCCAGAGAGTGACATTTTAAATTCCTTGGTCTCATCCAGCAACCTCGATTGAATTTTCTCCCCCTCTCACTCATTGTTTGTGTGTGTGTGTGTGTGTGTGTGTTCACTCCTCCAGTCACCCCAGGGGGCTTTGCGCTGTCACTTCCTGTTTGTTGACATGCATGTCGTCGTGGCGACGCTCTGGGCACGCTCTGCAGTGCCGCTGCCCTCTGCCCCATGCGTGTGTGCGTGTACATATGTGCAGTCAGACGGGTGTGTGCGTGTCATTTCTCGCCGGCCCATTGAGCAGCCTTTGAGTGACGCGGGCCAGGCCTTGTAATGGAACTCGATTCAGTCCACAAATAAAGAGGCCTTTGAACCACTGGTCCGAATATGGCAGAAAACACACTCACACACACACACACACACACACACAATGAAAGATGCTCAAATTCATACACACCCGCCTGTGGTGCACAGGCTGGAGGAGTTTGGCTAGTGGTGAGGGGAGTTCATGCTTGGTTGCACCTCCACCCCGGCCCCCACCCACCACCTCTCCTCCACCGCTTTTCCAGGAGCTACAGTGCAGCTAATTGAAGAGAAATGAGGGAGCAAGTAGCTGATCAGATCTCAGCTACCTGGCCTCCACATCCAGTGACTCATGACGGATCTGCTGGCTTACAAAATACCGCACCATGTAATGTACGTTACGTTGGTAAAGACACTAAGAAATAAACACGTCTGGAGTCGTTTAAATGTGCATTCCAACCAGTCCTGTTGGGCTCACTTGAATCAAGCTCTGGTTCATTCGGCGAGGTGTGAATGCACAATTGAACTCTGTTGTGGATGCGGACCAAAAGAGCAAACTCTGGCCTGCATAAAAACCTCGGACTCTGCTCGGGTAAAGTGAACTCTGGTGCGGTTTGAATGCATGTGTGAATGCAAGTGGACCGGAGAGCACTCCAAAAGTCAGAAGTCAACCATAGCGCAGGGCATTTTGGGTAAATGCAAACAAAACAAACAAAAAAAACATGACTAGCGTTAGAGGGAGAAATGGCTCATGATCTTTTGCCAAACACAAATCTGGACCTACATCATTTTTGTTCACATTTGTGAAGAGAAAAGTTGAGCTCAGGCCTTCTTTGGAAGTTTCTATGTAGTTTTCTTCAGTAGTAGCACCACAGGCAACTGGTTGATCAGGTTTTTCCAATTAGTTTGGTTCATTTGGCAGTGTGAAGGTGAACCACTCCAGCTGGAACAAATGTTGCAACTTTGGTCCTGCATCAAACCGAGTCAGCCTATCAGGTGTGAAATCACCCTCAGGCTGACTAAATCACAAGAATGAATCCTAAATTTCTCTTCTGTTTTTTTTTTCTTTTTTGCTGTTAGTTAAAATACTTAAATTTTAAAATGACAGTTAAATTCAAGATAGAAATGAACAATTATTTCTGTTCATTTGGTCTTTTTGTGTTTGAATATAATCTCACTCAAAGATTCAGAAAAATAATATTGAGGATATCCTGAAAGCTAACTTAACGATGCCATTGACTCTCACAAAGTTGCCAAGACGGTTAGAAGTGAAAAAGCCCACAGCATCACAGACCCTCCACCATGCATAACACTGGACACTTTAATTCATCTTCATTCTTTGCGGGTCAGTATTGGTATCAGACAATTCTCAAATGTCCGATACTACGATATTTGTATCGTGACAGAAGTGAAAAAGTTGCACCAGGACAATCCTAGTGATGCGCTACAGCAAAAACAGATTATGTTGAGATACATGAAAAACGTTTCAGGAAATTCTATAAAAAAGCAATTATCAAAATCATTTAAAAACTAAACACAAAAATGTGCAGGAAACTTTTTTTTTTTTTACATAAACTCACTTTCACAATTCAGTAGTTTTCAAGTGCAAAGTTTCAAGGTATTCATCAGGGATAGCCAGAAATGTGATTCTTCCTTCAGTAAATAATTGATTTTGCTGGAATGACTGGTGTCCTTTCTTTCAACAAAACAAACTAAAGTAGAAATTCAGCAATAGAAAAGGGAGGCAATTGTAAAAGAAAACATGTTTCTGTTGTATAAATGGAGTATTTATTTTTGCAGCCACTTGTGATGGACGTAGATTCCTCCCTGAAAGTATGCCTCTGTTTCTTTCCAGAGATTAATCTCTTTATTCGAGATAGCAGAGGAGAGCAGGAGGTAACATGGCTGTCAGCAGCGATACAGAAAGAGGTACAAGCAGACAGAAAAGCATGATGAAGAGAAGAAAATAGCGGTGACAGCATCTCTTCCTTGTCCATTTGCATAAACCAGCCTTTGTTTGACGCCGGTGGCCGGCAGCCAAGCGCCAACAGAAGGACGGAAGTTAAACTCAGAAAAAGAAAAACGGTGATCTTCATCCAGAAAATTATTCCACAAGAAATAAATAACAATTATAACTATTCAAAAAAAAAAAAAACGCACATCAGTGACTTCTCTCTAAACTAAGCATTCTGTTGCTCCTCAGAGGGAGGAATAACAATTCGGAGGAACGCGAGACGACACGGCGTCTGGGAGATTTGTATTAGAGCACATGAAAGCAGCTGAGCTTTGCAGGATGGGTTTGATTGAGACAGAAAGGAACACTGAAGCTTTTTCCAAGTTGTGATCATTTTAGAGTGTGTGCGTGCGTGTGTGTGTGTGTGTGTGTTGCCTCGGAGGGAAAAAAAACAAAAACAAGAAAGAAAAAAAAAACAAAAAAACAAGTGAATTTACCAACACAGCATCTTGCAGCATAATGCCTTAAATTAATTAGAAACTAATTAAATACAAAAAAATAACTCGGAAAGCTGTGTTTTTGTTTCCCCCACAACAGTTTATTCAGTTAATTTATCTTTATTGAACTACGCTGCAGCTCTTATTGTAGCGAAGCTAAGAGAGAGGCACATTTCTCTCTTTTCCCTGCATCATCATAATTTTTTTGTGCTAGAGCGGGGCTCTCCGGCATGACCCCGATAGCCAGAATGTTTGCCTTCCTCCCACGATGCACCTAGAGGGGACATACCCATCTCTGGGCCTGTCAGAGAGGCTGTTAGTGCTTCTCCCATGGGGTGAAGGAGGGGCTTTTGAGGGGGTTGACAGTAGAAATGTCCCTCTGTCACACAAACAGAGGCCTGGCCACTAATGGCCTCCTCTTCTGGAGCTTTTTAGTTGCCTTCTTCCTTTTTTTGTGTGTGTGTGTGTGTGCTCTTAAGTATTCATTTATTCATGTCGTCCTTTTCTTTCCTCCCCCTCCCGTAACCTCGCTCCTCTTCCTTTCTTCTTACTGTCCACTCCTTCAAACCCGCCCGCCTCTCTGACCCGGCAGCAGTTGTACGCAGCTCAGCTGGCGGCCATGCAGGTCTCCCCGGGGACGAAGCAGCACGGTGGCAGCCTCGCGCCCCAAGCCAACCTGGGCGCTCACTCCCCACCCACCAACTCACATTCGCAGGGCGACAAGAACCGCAGCACCCCACCTTCAAACAAAAACAAGGTAAGATGGGGGTAAAAAAAAAAAAAGGAAAAATAAAACTCAAAAGGCCTTGTGTTTGCGCTTGTGGATGTGCATGTTCCTGTACTCAACACTCAACAGCAAGAACCCATCTGTAAGGTTACATGTCATGTATTTGAATGTGTTATATAACTGAGGGCAGAGCTGAGCCTGAACACACAGCATCCTCCCGTCCTACGAAGACACGTTTTTTTCAGATAACAGTTAAAGTAACTCAAATTGAAGACTTTTTAAGACCATTATGAAACCTGCACCTCCTCAGAAATGTACAGTGTCCAAGCAAGTGGCAAAAACAAATGCAAAAAAATCTAGAGATCTCTGTGTGCGACTCAAACTTTTGCCTGACAGAACAGTTTTGCGAGGAAAAAAAAAAAAAGAGAAAGAACATAGAAGATTAAATGGTCCTGTCAAGACAAACTTTAAGACCTGGTATCGTTATTAAAGGCCAACATACTTATTTTAGCTGAGCTTAAGGTATTTTAAGACCCTAATTTTAAATGCATGAATTTAAGACTCCTTAAGGCTGAAAGGAAGATGGATGAATATTATATAGATTAGCACAGCAAAAACACAATTTTTATTTTTGGTTTAGTGTCTGGTGGAAACATCTTAGTACAGTTGAAATAAGACAAAAATGACTTACTAGTGACTTTTCAGCAACATATTGGAGCTTGTTTTAAGTTACTAATTCTTTAAGATTGATTAAAACAAAAAGTTCCAGTTCAACAGACAGATTAATTGTTAACATTTTTCCCATAAGTGAAATAATCTTGACAGTTGAACTTTTTTTTTAAATCAATATTAAGGAATTATTTAATTAAGAGAAACTTATACGTCGCTGAAAAGTTGTAAATTAGTTTTGATGCATTTCAAGCGTGCCAAGATATTTGCACTAGAAACAACGCCAAAAATACTGAGTAAGATTTTGTATTTTTGCGGTCTGGCAACATGGATTAATTAATTACATTTTCAATGAAGATAATTGTACAAAAGGACACTTAAATATATGCTTTCATGTGTCAAACATGGGGCATAAAGTGCAAGCTTTTGCTGCCTTTGCTGTCATTGACACAATTTACCAACGTATTAAAAATCAATTTTCTAGTCCCAAAAGAACATAAAAAGTAACTAAAATCAGGATTAATTCCTATAATGTACGATTAAAATATGCCTTACCAAAATAAATTTTCAAAATGTGTGTTTTTTTGAGATTAACAACCAACATTTTGAATTCTCTGTTGACTTTGTGTAAACAGTAAAGCTCCTTCCTTCTCTTTCTGAGTTTCCACAAAGCAGATAAACTTGCTCCCTGACGATTCTCAGGCACTTCCTGTCTGCAAATCAAATAGAGTAACTCCATCCCAGAACCCCAGCTGGTGTCCCATCGCGGTCCATTTGGGGGGGATCTGTTGGAGTTTGTGTCGTTTTCTTGGCTGACTGCCTGATGGGCGTGATGCGAGTGGAGCCTCGTGTCCATCCAGGTGGAATCCTATGAATATCTGGTCGGCCTCCTGCACAATCGCAAACACACTCCCTGGTGCTCGCATGACCTCTGGTCAGTCAGGCAAACACGCACAAGGACGTTCGTACAAGAAAGTTTAGCTCGTCTTTTTCTACTTTTTCCTCTCCGGATTCCCGATCAATGTTCCCATCGTTTCCTTTCTCAACAGATTGATCTCTGACTTTGTTCCCTGCAGACTTGACTGCCGACGCGCTGCCTACGTCTCCATCACACACACACAACCATCCCCGCTGTCACACACACTTATTACCATATATATAGAGTCAGGCTGGCAGTGAAAGTCATGGCCTGTGGTGGAGGAAGTCCAGGGAGTTGTAATGGCTGACTGGTGAGCTGACCAGAGTGGACCCTGACAGCATATTTACCAACGTTTTAGACCAATTTTAAAGACATTCACCTTTTCTTCTTTTTTTCGGCTCACACTGACCCCCTCAATGCTTCCTCAAAAACTTTTCCTCTGTCACCATGTCTTCAGTCAAGTGACATGTATATTTCATAGGTGTCCTCCCCATGCGGGCTCTATGTCAGGGCTCCAGTCATTTAGAAACTCTGTGGCTGGCTCTGCTCACAGCTGTTTGGACTCAGGCACACACCGCTTAAGTGCTTTACCCTCGGGTGAGACACAGACACACACACACACGCGCACAGGTGTGGAGCACTACACACACACGCACACACACACACACACCCTCTGTGCTTAAATCACTGCAGACTGCATAAAGCTTTCTTATACGCAAGAGTGGATGTCGATGCACACACACACACACACACATACTCAGTGGAGGTCAAAATGATGCGCCGTATGTAGCACTTTAGCTGACATGCAGCACAATCACGTACATGAGTCTGATGGTTGGTAATAGCTTACTGTTTCAATACAATCCAACTATATTGAGATGATTTTCTAGTGTTTTAATATTGTTTAAGATTTAAGATATTAAACATAACACTTTTAATATCTGAAAATTAGAGGTATCTTCATTTTTGTTTTTCAAACAGAAAAATGTAGAATGAAAATATAATAAAAACAATATTAAATCCAAGATTTTCCAAATCATGACCATCTTTCATTTTTGCCCATTTTTCATTACAAAGTGACCCAAGCTCAGCTAGATTTCAGGTTTGCCACAGATTCTTAATTGAATTTCCATCTGAACTTTAACTGGGCCATTCAAACTAAAGCACTGCATCTCTAGCTGTTTGTTTAGTTGTCCAAATTGAATCTCTATCAAAGTCTTTTTGCAGCAGGTATTACAAATCCTAGACCAGCTTCCCCACAGCATGATGTTTCACAGTGTGTAATATGAAGAGCCAGGCATGCTTTTTAAACCATAATAGATTAAAAAGCAGGACTCATGTATCTGTATACTGACTAAAAGTGAAAAAGCTCATAATGTATAACTTGTGCAAGGCACCTTAAATGTTGGAGTCTGATGTAATTCTGCATCATTGACCTAAAATTTACTTCAACCTGATAAAAGTTTGATATGCTGACCTGTCCAGAGTGACCACTGGAGATAGGCACCAGCACTCAGTAGGGATAAGCATGGAAGATAATGGATGGATGGATGATATTATAGTTAATAGAACAGCTCACCTCCACACACACACACACACTCCGTCATGCAGAGCAGACAAGGATAAACGGTGGTGGCACAGCACATGTCGCTTTAATTGAACCGTCAGCTCCTGCAATAAGATGCAGAACACTGATGTCACTCGCACATGTCGGCATCCGCAGAAGCAGCCCACACACACACACACACACACGCGCACACACACATTATCTCTCCCCTTCTGCTCCCTCTCCGTGTCCCTCTGGTTCTCGCTGTCACTCTGCATGTTTTCTGTCTCAAAGCTGGAGACTGTTTCCTCCGCCAAGAGAGACACAAAAACAATTGTATTAATTCAAGATTCCAAAACCTTTAGAGTCCTCATGCAAACACACACACACACACTTTAGAGCTTGTAGAACAATCTCTCTCTCACACACACACGCACACAAGTCTGTCCAACGTCTCAGCTCCGCTCTCTAAACTAATTCCTCCACACTGGCATAATGCAGGTTGGCCACCTTCCCACCACAGGATTTGGCTTGGCGCGGAGAGGAAACTCCCCCTTCCACTGTACGAGCAGCAGAGGCATTATCTATTTGTAATAAATATTCAAACGCATTTGCAGCCAAAGCCCGTCGTAATATGGGTCAGGATTGAGGAGCTCCCGCTCCGTTTTCCTCTTTTTTTCCCCTCTCCTCTTCTTCTCCGGCCCATTGTCTTTCTGAAGGCATCTTTGGGGGTCCTCCGTCTATTTAGAAAGACCTCCCTAATGAAGGACAATCCGGTTAGGACTCGTCGCACGCACACACACACACACACACACACACACACACACACAGAGGATGGCACATACACGTCGTAGGGGCTTAATTGGAAGGGCTTAATTGAGTTGTGAGGGGCTCATAAGGCTTAGTGTGACTCAAGGAGAGGGAATCAGGAAAAGTCGGCCTTAATGAGTGAATATACAACACACACAATACTTTCTTTCTTTTTGAATCCCACTATATTCTGGTTTCTATACTGCTTAAGCTGCAATTAGACTAATGACCAGAAAATACAAATAATGTCTCTATTCTCTCCTGTTAGCTTTAAATGGGGCCACACCTGAAAATTATCCCCAATTCTGCTCAATAACGTTTCAATAATCAGAACTGCATTTTCACACGACTGCAGTCTGGCCTGACCTGCTGCATCACCGTTTCGTTTGGCATCAGGCTTTTAATTGTGGAGTTTTAATTACACTGAGTGGCGTGCGTGTGTGTGTGTGTGTGTGTGTGTGTGTGTGTGTGTGTGCGTGCATCTGCCCCGTCTCTGATCTAATTCCTTCCTTCCTGTCATGTGATGCGTCTACGCTGCCCCTGATTGGATTAGGTTGTCAGCAGGGGTTACGTTGCCATGACAGCTCACCAGACAATGTCCAACTTTTTCTGTCCTTTGAAATTTTCCATATTTTTCTGTCGTAAAAATACAAACTTTGATCAGTTTCATTTGTAATGTGTAGCGCTGTTCCGCTGTTAAGATTTTAGTTGTGAATTCAGTTTAATTTTTTTCTCCCTTCTGTAGTGTGTATATATTTTAATTGCCCCTTGCTCAATATTTCAAATAACCTTTTGCTGTAACTGTACCTGATCTGGGGTATTAAAAGACAGACGTCTGTGTCACTGTTTGGTAGAGAGCCATCTTCACATGGTTCCACTAATATTCACATTCAGGTCCTCAGCTGAGGACTAACTCCACAGCATGATGCTGCCTTCCCCGTGTGGCTCTTTGCAGCTTCTCCATTGTTGCCAGGGGCCTCTTGGCTGCTTCTCTGATTGGTTAGTTTGATGGCCTGTCATGGCTGAAGTAGTACTGTACCCTTTTCAGATGTTTGAGGAAAAACTGCATTTTCATATTTTCTTTCCACTGAACTGTTCAATCAGATATGAATACAGTTTGTGGTTAAATGATGGCATATTAGGGTCATTGTAGATGGAATAAATATAAAAAAAAAAAATCTGAAATTTTGAGATTTATCTCAGAAATTTTTTAGAAAAACCAAGAACATTTTTGAGTTCCAAAAGTTGAACGTTTTCAACTTTTGGAACTATAAATGTTTATAATCCCCTCAGTGTGGCATCATGGTGCTTGTAATGCGACACAATGTGGAAAAGTTCGACGGGTGTAAAAACTTTTGCAAGTCGCCAGCTTTTCTAAGTGAAATAACTCCTTTCAGTGTGTTTGTGTGTGATTGGGGCAAGCGGCTGCCGTCCTCCACACACTGGGACGTTCTCTGAGGTCTCTGCTCTCTAACGGACCAGGAGCAATTTGAAGTGACAGACTGTCCTCTGCTCTGCTCGCTGTTTGATGCGTTGAGACGTCGCTGCGTCTTTGCGCTCTCACACCTTTAAAGGCTGCGTTATCCTCAGTGAAAGACGGGAGGCGTCCTGTATATTTATACACGGCGCCACGGTGTTCCTCCTCACTGTGTATTTAGTTGTTGCTTGCCATATTGTCTGGATGTGAGGCGCTTCAAGAAGCAGAGCTGTACTGCATGATCCTGCAGCTTGCATGTGGAGTGTGCATGCGTCGCTGTTATAGGTGGCCCGTTGTTTTGCATGTCAATGTCAGTGGGGGGGTATTTTTGCACCCAAAGGTCTGTGTGTGTGTTATTGTGTGAAGACAGGCAGTGGCATGCACCCCGTCACCTTCTCATCCTCGGACTGCTGTGCATGGGGATTCGGCTAAATCGGCACGTGGTCTTGGTCATGGGAGACGCGAGGGCGTCCCCCTCGCCTCCCCGCTTCCAAATTACCTTACGGTGGTCACGGTGGGCGAACCTGTGCTGTTTTGGTTTTTGCAGGACAGTGAGGGTGCACAGCCACTGAACCTGTCGGCCAAGCCGAAGGCATCCGAGAGCAAGTCACCCAACTCCCCCCCAACTTCCCCACAGGTTCCCGCTGCCGCTGCCGCCACCACCAAGCTGGGTCCCGCCGGCTCCATGAAGCACAGCGCCGTGCCCTCCAGCATCGGAACGCCGTCCACCAGAGTCAGCTCAATAGGTAAGTACATTTAGCTACCCTGTACAGTGGCAGAGCACTGGAGAGGAAACAAACGCTAGCAGGGGCTCAAGTGGAAGTTGGGATCCACCAATCCACTTTTTTCACTTCCCATACCGACATCGATATGAGGTTTAGTTGGCTGATACCGATCTGATAAAGAAAAACTCATTTATTTTATGACTCTGCATCAGTACAGCACACTTAAATTTATTGATAACTTTACAAGCTGTGTTCAGATATGCAAAAACAACTTTAATTTGTGCAATAAATAAAGTAAAATTAGGAGAATAACAGCCAATGTAAAATAAATACAGAAACTTAAACTGACAAAAGCAATAGGTTGACTATCTCGGTCAAACTGAAACTAAATTGCAACAAATCTTCTGTCAAATAGTTCAGAAAGTGGAATTAGGAATTCTAAATATAATGTAAAATAAATAGTAAAGCTCAGAGCACAACGAGTAGAATTAGACTAAATAGATCTGCACTCTTGGGTTGGGCATATTGTCACTGGTACCAGATTTGATTTTAGGGATAATAGTGAACACAGTTACTTTTCAACAATTTGCCGATGTGAAAAATATCTCGCTGTGCGTCTACCTCCATCAGCAACGACTTCAACACTTACGAGTGAGACTTCTTGACCAATCAAAGCTTCCCAGTCCGTCTCTAAACAAACCGTAGATGTACAAGCTCAGTTTCTTAAGCTGCAAACATTTTTACAAGAACGATACATTTCCAGAAGTGGACATCTCAAACGTTTTTCAGAAAAAGTGTCTGCAAAGTGTTTCTATAACAACAGGAACAGTGTTGTTTCTAGCAGTACTGTGATGACAGCACCATAATCCTTCCTAACCACATGCACACAGAAAGAAAAAATGGCATAAATGAATCACTATTTTTTACTCCTAATCCATTTTTCATGCAGCACTGATAGTTCAAATATTACACATATGTAACAGGCTATAATTAGTGTTTGTGTTGTTCCTCCGTGCTGCTATTTGCCTGCAGGGCGGCTTCATTGTTATGTGTTTATTAGTGGCTGAAAGAGACAGAGAGAGACATAGGAGTCAGGAGAAGGGAGGGAATGAGAGAGCGAGAGACGAGGATTAGTGTTTCCTTTTTTTTTTCCAGAGCAATGAAGTGGGGGAATAATAAAGAGAGGAGTGCATGACAGACAGAAGGTATCACCAATGAGATTAGACAAGCCTCTTACATGAGCCAGGACAGCGCAAACACCCAGCATTAACTATACAATACCAGCACACACACTGAAACTCACACAAAGCCTCACACACACACACACACACAATCCAACCTCCTCCTCATATGCAGTTAAGTCATTTTTTTTTTCCTGACATTCTGGCTAATCTCACTGTTTTTCAACAAATCGGCGGATTTAATATCAGATTAGTGGATTTTCGGTCCCAGATGTTTTTTGTTCAGAAAAATGGATTACAGTGTTTTAAGTTTGTGTGTGATCCTGGCTGAATTATTTGCGCGGCGGAGGCCAGATCCCCGATACGCAGGAGCTCATTGTTCCATCTGTTACTGCTGAGTTTGAGGCGGTCAGGAGCGCCGCGCCGCGTTCCAGCTCATCGTATTAGGATCCGTTTTACAAGTTCGCAGCGGACGGACAAATCGGAGCGGGGTCCAGAGGTGGTCGTTTTGATTTGCAATCTGTTTGAGGAAGAGCGAGGAGGGGGTTGCAGATTAGGAGGGCCTTTTGGGGTTATTTATATTCAAACTGGAATCAGAATGAAACCTGATTAAACCCTTCTGAGAGCAGAACACATTTAGTTTTTCATCTAGTTCTTTTTCAGACCGCATATGTCTTATAATAAGATCAGAGCTTTTTAAACCTGATGAGTGTGTGTGTGTGTGTGTGTGTGTGTGTGTGTGTGTGTGTGTGTGTGTGTGTGTGTGTGTGTGTGTGTGTGTGTGTGTGTGTTTATATACACATATAGCTGGTGGAAACTGTAAGTAAACAAGTTAACGCTATTTGAACAATGTTGAAATAAAATGTAGATCAAAATGTATTAATTTAGAAATATATAGGTTTCTAGAGTTGCTATCTTGCGTTCTTGGTATCTCATATCAAACTTTAATAACAAATTTAGCAAGACTTTCTAATTGCACAAATTTTTCTTTTGTTCTGGTCTTCACAGAGCAACACAAACTAATAATTGGTGGTTAATTAGTCAGGCTATCTGCTCCTAGCATGCTAACTGTAGGTTTAAAACTATTAGTTTTACATCTATTTAAACCATGTTACTCTTTTCTTGCTCAGAAAATGTAGATTTCTTTTTCTAAATTTAAAACGATCATTAAAAAGTTGAGGAACTATTGTAACTAAGCTAAATATCATATTAAGGTATCTGCTTAAAACTTAAATGCTTTTCTACTTAACCCAAGCAGGTGCTTTTGCTTTGTTGCAATACTTTTAGGATTCAGTAAACCTAAACATGAACCCAGATATAAGTGTTTCGGTTTGTGAAGACCTCCACCTGGAGGAATGTTTCTCTCTTCCCATCCGTCCATCTTTCTCTAACCAGACTGAGAGACGTAGGCGCCTGTAATTTCCACCACCGTCACACATTTATCTCAGTCTGCACCGTGAACAACTGCAGTCCCCCAACTTGAACGTTTCCTCATAAACGTACCATGTGCATCTGCAGAGAAGAGGGGAAAAAAAGTAGAACTTGTGTTATCGCAGTGCAAGAGAGCAGAAGACATCCCCTCCAACCTTTCCCTCCTTTTATCTGGGTCACATTCACTCGTCTGGTCTGGATGGTTGTCATTTCTGTCAGTTGAAGCAATCACACAATCATGTGTGCACAGGAATTTCTATCAACCCCCCCGCCGCCTCTTCTTTTGACTGCAGATTAAAATTGACTGCCACCCAATTCTGTCACCCCCCTCCTCCACCTCCTCATCTCTGTTCTCACTCCTCTGTCCTGCCTCTGATCCCGCACCCTCTCTTTTTCTTTTTTTTTTTTCTCTTTTTTTTGTCGGGCTCCACTCCCGTCCAGATTTTCCGGTTATGACTTCTGAAAGAGTTCACGGCTCTGTCATTACCAATCTGAAGCTGATAATCTGGTCCGAGATGGCATTAGCGGCGCGGATTAGCGCAGATAAAGGCCTCATAAAGCAGCAGCGGCTCTTTGTTAAGAACTAACCGATGGGGAGCGGAGATGGCGGCGCCTCGCATTCTCACACATGCAGAATAATAAGAGGTGCCTCTGCTGACTGTAACGCTGCTTACAGCGTTCTGCTGAAGGGGATGAGATTCCTGGGGGCAAACTCTGACTCACATGCTCCACTCGGCTGCAAAGTGGTCAGTCGCTTTGAGTGTTTTCAGTTAGGTACATAAAAAAAACACACACACACACACCCATACACACACTGGCAATCTCCTCTCATCAACTGTATGTTAATGCCTTTACCTTATGGTTCAGAAGATTTGTTCCAGATGAGAACCTTCAAAGTAAATACTTTGGAGTGTTTATTCAATAATAATAATAAAAAAAGCTGTTCTCTTTTTTTTATTATTTTTTGTTTTGCTGGTAATTCTCAATCTGCATTTGTGCTTATGAAAATTAAAGAAGCTGAACAGGATGGCTAACAGATTGTCCCTCCTGTCTGCGTCTCAGCAGACTTGTTGTCTTCATTGTCGTCGACAGCCTACCTGAACGACCACGAGGCGGTGAGCAAGGCCTTCGCCGAGGCCCGGCAGATGAAGGAGCAGCTGAAGGGGGAGCAGCAGGCCCTGGACGCCAAGATGGCCTCCGTCAGCAACCTCAGCCTCAACAACGGCCGCTCCGACAAGGTCAGGGTCTTTTTGTCTTCCTTTCAGCGCACAAAGATTTTAAAAGCGTTGAGGCATGAAATTTGCCAAAAGCAACTATGTGTTGTTTCCTCTATTATTTTAACGTTTGTTTAAAGCACAATTTTAATTATTTCAAATGAACTCAAATCAATTTATACAGCCTCACAAATTAAAAATCAAAATGATTTTGCGCACATTTTAGTGTTCATTTCCTAGACATGTACCAGCTTACAGAAATACACAGTGCATATAAATACATCAGAAAAATCTTCTCAGCTCCCGCCTCAGGTGAAATACTAATTGTGTCAGGATTTTGGTTTTTTCCCCACAACAAATGATTTACACTCAGTCACCCGGAGCTCGGCACAAACAAATACAAATCGCCGCCTTTTATCTCGGCCTCCAAATTCGGCGCGCGCTAAAAAAGGAAGAAGAAAAAAACTGCAACAGATCTACCCCGAGTCCTCTGAAGTCATCGCAGGCCGTGACCGTCTTCATTGTCGGCGCGCGGTAATTTGTCGTGCCGTGTGCCGTCCCCGCCGCAGCATGTAGGAGGCAAATCGGCACACAATGCCCTCGCACAGCTAAACGTGGCCAGATAAGGTAAAAACCGGAGGCAGCGTGGAGGTAATGACTGCGTCTGTGAGGCGCACTGCAGGGGTGTGTGTGTGTGTGTGTGTGTGTGTGTGTGTGTGTGTGCGCGCGGCACAGCAGAGTGTCAGGGAGACAGTAATGTGAAATGACTGCGTCGGCTCCTCAGCGGCTCAGATCAACTCTGGGTATTTGTTCAACATATTTGGAATCAGCTGAGGCATCAAAGCAGGAATTATTCCTCCTGCTGCTTTACTGTATTCATGTTGATATTGCTAATAAATATTGCATTCAGAATCATTAATTAACATTAATATAAATAAAAGAAACCACTATATAAAATAGTATTGTTTGCAAGTGGCAAATATAGTTTTTTCCCAATCCTGCTCTTTATAGCTGTTTAATTGGACTGCAGCTGACTTTATAACTGTAGCGCTAAAACTATTTGAAACTCTTATTTTCAGTCAAAATTTAATTCAAACTTTTCAGCAACGAATCTTTCAGAGAATGTTGGTGTGAAAATGTGGAAAAGCATCTTTTGGCCAATTTTAAATGAGAAGATTTGATTCTTTGGACTTTTTAAAACCACTAAATTTAACGTAAATGCTGTAAATGTTTCTCATAAATAATGACATTTAAAACTGTTTGTATGTATGATCAACGAGGAAATATGGAGCATTTTTGTTCAGCCGTTATTCAGCAGACTTGACTGCATTAAATGTTAGCAAATTGCTCTGCATTGTGGGAAATGGCTAAGACTGTTAAAGAACAAGAAATCGTTTAAGAAAGACAAACAGATGTGTAAAGTTATTGATTTGTAAAGACTTCATGAAACAGTGTTGACTCTTTGTGATGTTCTGCAGCCCTGCTCCTCCTGTTCCTTTCTGGGTTTTGTGTGTTGGGATGCAGCGGCGGCATCCCTGACACTCAGAAGATTAGTTTTGTCACTACTTTGTGTCTCCGCTCTCATGTCAGCCATTCAATCCACTTTTCCCATGTACTGTACCGGGGCTTAATGTCAGACTAGGCTGTCATCCACTCTGTCTCTGCTCTCTCTCTCTCTCACACACACACACACACACACACACACACACACACACTCCACAAAGCGACTGAGAGCGCATTAATCTTAAAATCTGAAAGTGTGAGGAGACATTTTGTGCTCTTTTTCCCCCCCTGGAACGAGGACTGAATGAGGCTTTCATTAGAGCAAAATGAGAGAAAAACTCCTAAAATATTTCTGATTTACATACAAAATGACTAACTCCAAACCATTGAGGGTTATTATGCATTTATAAAAGCAAAAGAAATTAAAACTGAAATACTTTTGAAACATTTAGAGCTTTTATTCTTCCTCTTCCCTATTTATTCCAGTCTATTGGGGGAGGGGGAAATTATTTCTAACAATTAAACAGCGTTGGACTAAAAAAAAAAATAGATAAAATGCATTTCATTAGCATTCTGCCCTCCCTGCTTGCAGCCATCCGGCTCACCAGGGTCACATGGAAATGGAGGAGGACACTTTCCGGAACATCGTTTTAGAAGACGGCCGTGTTTTGGGTAGAGCTCCTAATCGTGTAATTAAACTGTAAAACGTTGGCGCTGGTGCCGTGCCGCCTGTGTGTGTGTGTGTGTGTGTGTACGCACGCGAGCGAGCATCAGCCGAGCTCCAGCGCAGTGTGTGCCGGCTGCTTGCATTAGGCATGTAAATGCTCAGTAAATCAGCCTTTTATTGGTTGTAATAAATACCCAGGGGGCCGCGCGGCGTGGCCCCGCTCTCGTCCGCGCCGCGCTCTCTCCCTCTAATGCGTCGACCCTCAGGGGCCTCTGCAAGAGAGAGGCAAGCCGCCGCACTCCACTCTCGCAGGTGGCTGCCAGGAGTTGCCACACACACACACACACACACACACTTAATCAGCAGCACACTCACATAACAGTAAACATCCAAACCGGAGTAAAATCAACATTCTTCTACATGGAAACACTCAAACGCAGATGTGTGTTCAGGCTTTTAACATTTCCACATGTCAAGCAGCTTGTCTGTTTGGGGGGGGAAATATATATATATATATATTTTCATAACATTTAACTATTGTTCATTTTCACCTCGAATGTCTAAAACAAAAGGGAAAAAAAATGTTGAGATATAACAGTAGTTGTAATGGGAGCCATCAGTCAGAAGTGCAGGTTTGGAGTTTCATTCATGTTTTCCCTGCATGTGACTCAGACACTGACCGACTGCTGCTGTGAACTGTTTGTGCCGTTTAGGACAAAGCTGCCTTGGAGAGTTTGAGTCAGCAGCTGAAGCAGCAGGCCGACGACAAGTTCAGCCACGCCATGCTGGACTTCACTATGAGCGGAGACTCTGACGGTACGCGTGCGCGCACACACACACACACACACAGAAATATGACAAATGAAGGATTCTCACGTTCAGAAAAACTGAACATTAAAGGAAAGATGAATTGCACGGCTGATACAAATATGCTGAAGTAAAAATTCATCTTTTGTTGCTGTAGCATAATCTCACTCTGATTTTATTTTTATTTAAACTTTAATTTTAACAATTACTTAAAACCAAAAATAGTTTAACAAATATAACTGAAACCATTCTTTTCATTTTATGCGAGCTTTGAGATTTTGTAAGTCTTTAATTAGTTTTCACTGCTTTTCTTTTTTCCTGAGGTCCAAATATGATCCAAGTCCTATTTCTTTTTGCCACCTTCTAAATTTTAAAGATAAAAAAACATTCAATTTAAATATTTTGATATTTTAATATTTATACTTCTACAAACAAAATAGGTACTCAGGCAGCATTCTGCTTTTATGCTCCACTAATTTGGAACAAACTGCATAAACAGAGATTTTCTTTAAATGCATTTGATTAATAATAATCTGCAAAATTATATTTGACAAAAATTTATTTATTGCTATTCCATAATTATTTGCCGCATTAAATTTTTATGAAGTAAAGAACTTTGAACTACTGTGGTGTATAAAATAAACTGAACATGACTAGTAATGTGAACCTCACCAGTCAGGGGACGATTCAGATTTGAATTATCTACAGCTTTGACAAAGAAGGCTGGATGAAGACTCAGTGTGTTTCTTGCTACACACACTGTGAGGTAAAACAGGAAATATTTTAGTCACTATTGGCAGCTTAGGCTCAACAAACCTTTCTGTCCAACCACCAGGAACATAAATATCTAGAGTCTGATAAACTCTACTGAGATGTTGTTTTGTGGTTGTAAGATCGAGGTGGGAACCTTGCCCAGCATTACAAACTCTGAAATACCAGTAAATTTTAAATGGGTGCTATCAGAAAACTAAAAACTTGTCGCCTTTGGGTCTTTTAGCAGAAAAACAATCAAGAATGCAATTATATTCAATGTTATAAGTGAAGTAATCTGTGAAACCAGTACTTTTGTAAGTTAGAACACTTGAAATAAGACAAAACTAAAATGTCTGCACCAGAAACAAGACCAAAAATACTTGGTAACATTTAGTATTTTTTGCAGTGTGTGTGCTTCACCTTTGCACAAAAGTTGATCTACACTTTCTCTTTTTACATTGCATGACTATTGTCTTCCTCCTCAGGTTCCCCTAGCGTGTCGGACTCCAGAATATTTCGGGAAACGCGTGGCAGGAACAACAACGAGCCGCACATCAAGCGGCCAATGAACGCCTTCATGGTTTGGGCCAAGGACGAGAGGCGGAAGATCCTCCAGGCCTTCCCAGACATGCACAACTCCAACATCAGCAAGATCCTCGGTAAACTTCCGCCCTTCAGCAGCTCCGGGCGCTCGCTGCATCCTTATCATATAAGCCATCTCTCCTTCTCACAAACACACACGCGCATCACAAACTAATGCTGCTTTCGTACTACGGCGGCGTTGTGTAAGCGGGCGTTAATGAAAGGCTGGGGGAGAGCACAACCACGACAAATGATGATATAATTCATTATGCATTAAACAAGTAGCGCAAGGCCGCCTGACATTTCCCCCAGACCGCCGGGATCGGCCCTGACATTTTAAAGAGCTCCTAAGCGTTTTATAACACAGGGAAATCTGGTTTTAATAAGCCTCCACGCTCTCGATTGCTAACAGATCGCAGAACACAGAGAGAGGGAGAAAAGAGAGAGGGGGAGACAGAACAGCCGCGCACTGACAGCTTTTACCCATTAAACATACAGTAGTCAAGTGCAAATTCAGACCAGATATGAAGCGCACACACACACAGAGGAAGACAGGCACAAGATTTTCCACCCACCCACACACACACACATACAGTACAGATCTGTGAGCAGCAACCGAGCTGAGAGATGACAGCAGGTTAAGTGAAGTCCTCATTAGTTGAGATGAGTACCTGTCGTCCCAGCAGTGCTCCTCATTAACCCTCTTTTGCTCTCTTTTGCGTTCTCGTTCCGGGTGCCACTTCCAGCACCACGCTGCGTGTGTGTGTGTGTGTGTGTGTGTGTGTGCGTGTGTGTGTGTGTGTGTTTTTAGCTCATCCTCACATGTATCAGTTTAAACTGTTTGCTGAGCGTCCTACATCACACACATCAGTCAGAGTAGCCGATCTGCATCCGCACGGTCATGTTTTCAAAGAAATGTCAGGACGAGTGGTAATCAGTGACTGCACTGAAAGAGAGGTCTGTACAATAAATAAATACTGCATGATTAATATTAATAGATAATACGTTTGATAGAATATTCAGTAATTTTACTGAACTCCAGTCCAGAATCTCACAGCATTCTGGGGGATGTAGGCACAGGAAAGACTTTAGCTGCTCAATGTAGCACCAGCTACATTGAGCCCGTTGTGACCCAGTTGAGGTCACAAAAAAATCTGATTTTTTTTCTGACCTCTCTCTCATCTTTTCATGACAGTCTGAACAACACGAATCCAGTTTTTAACAGATTTGACCCGGGCTACTTGTATACGTGGTTCTAAATCCAACACCTAGCCGACCTTTTCCAATGTTACTTGCCTTTGTACGACATCCGACCTGAATGTCAGTGATACACGATGAAAGTCTCGATTCTGCATCCTGGAAGTGGGAAGAAAAACAACAACCATTGAAGACAATAATGAAGATTAAAATTGTTAATATGCAATAAATAAATAGCAAAATATGTTGCACCATTAGCGTCCACAAGTACTTCCTTAAACACTGATCACACTCGCATTATTGCGCCCTCTCCTGGACATGTGGACACTTCTACAATGCTTGCAGTTCGCACAAGTCACATGTACTTGGAAATGTGGACAACTGCACACAAAACAAATTTTAAATCAGAATTGAGTTTTAAAGCCTGTAGTGTGAACGCAGGCCAACTTACTCACTTTTTGGCTACTTAGCAACACCCTTGCACAGCAGCAGTTTCAGCTTTAGCACCATGCCTCATAACTCCTTTAAAAAATACAAATAAGAGTAACGCTATCAATTTGGCAGTATTTCAGATATTTATAACAAAAGCAAATCATATCAACTGCTATGTACAATAGTGTATAAGAGCAATTATTATTAAAAAGTTCATTTGTGGACATTAATCTGGAAATTTTAGTGCTTTTTGTCCAAATTTTTTTTCTATCTTCAAAGGCCCTACTTTCAGCCATATTGTCCAGTCCTACCTAACAGCAGCCCCTCTGTGGCAAGTTGTCTCAAAGAAAAGCAGCAGCTAATCAAACCCAACGGCTGTTTTCCGTCTGTCTCCAGGCTCGAGGTGGAAAGCCATGACCAACCTGGAGAAGCAGCCCTACTACGAGGAACAGGCTCGCCTCAGCAAGCAGCACCTGGAGAAATACCCGGACTACAAATACAAGCCGCGGCCCAAACGCACCTGCCTGGTGGACGGCAAGAAGCTGCGCATCGGCGAGTACAAGGCCATCATGAGGTCCCGCAGGCAGGAGATGAGACAATACTTCAGCGTAGGGTGAGGGATTGGGTAGTTCTAGGTCCAGGAGGATTTTGTTTGTTTTGCAAATAAAAAGATCAGAATTTATAGGCTTTTTTTTCTCCATCATTCTATTTCTGTTTTAAACACAGAGACTGAATGTAAATTTGCTTTTCCTCTTCTATTAGTTTCTATGTAAATATGTCATAGTTTCTAATGAGGATTTTGACCAACGAGATGCACTAAGAAATTGGCTGATGACCCATCAAACGTGTTTCAGCTTAACCAGCCTGTGGGACCTTTTTCAGATCATTAACATCTAAACTTTTACCAGTCTGCCATAACAACACTCTTCAGTACAGAACTTAATACAGAGAGAAAATAAATCTCTATCAGTGACATATTCAAACAGGAAGTCAGAGGACGACGAAAAGGTTTGCCGGAGAACGTAGAGTAAAAATATTTCAAAGTTTACAACAAACCTGAAATGACAATCTAGAAAACAAACTCTGGTGCATCTCTATTTTAAATGTATGTGTGCTATTCTCATTTTTGGATGTAATTGTTTTGAAACAAACCAAGCTAATACAAGTAGCTCAGTTTGTACTAAATACCCAAAATTTAGGCCTGGGTCAGGAATGTTTTACCTGCAGGCACAACATGCAATAAAGCTACCTCACTTTCATCATATTTACAATCACATTAAAGCTAAATTGTGTAAAATAACCCTTTACTTGTAATGGGATTCGTTTTATTTTTCCAAATCATAGTATGTGCTGAAAATAGTTGAAGTTTCTCTTTACAGAATAAGTAAAAGTTAACAGCCGCGTTTGAGCTAGCTGCTTGGCAATGAACAACAGGCAGAGAAGGACTACAGCACTAAAATACACCGAGTCAAACTGGCATTAAAATAAGTTGAAACTTTTTTTCCTGACAGTAACCTTTTAAGACTCTGTATATTCTGATGGTGGTAATCAGGGAAATGTTTCCAACATGGTTTGGTTTAAAAGGAGCAAACCTTTTAAACCAAAGTAGAGGGTGAATTGTTACACACACACTCAGTTGCAAAATCACATTCATATATCCACTAGATGGTGCTTTGTGGGTCAGGCTAAACTTTGATAAGAAATGCTTGTATTTTCAGATTGCAAAAATATAGTTGAACCCTCAAAACATCTTATTCTGCAAGAAATAAAGACTGCTTCAGTTGTGAAGCAGTGCTATCAATAAATGCCTCGTTTCCATTGAATATCCGGTTTGGTAGGCTATTTTCTTTTTGTCAATTATAAAAGGGGCCCATACAACCGATCTGAACCACACGGTTCCTGGACCCCGTTCAGGTCTAGGTCCATTGGATAGGTGTATGGTACGCTAAGTTTAAACAACTGGCACCTCTCGACAAGGTATTTGTTAGGGAACAGAAAAACATCATTCTTGTGCGTCAAATTTGTCGTCGCACTCTTCTGACAACGTTAGGTGTTTGGCCTCAACCCTGCCTGCCCCGTTGAAGTCCAACTGGCGGTGGAAATCGTTCTGTTGAGCGCGGTGGAAACGGGGCAAAAGTTTCATCTTACTGACTACAGCATGTTTCTGACGATACTCCTAACTTTCCTTTCTTTTTGTGCATACAGGCAGCAGGGCCAGCTGCCCTTATCCTCTGCCGGCATGGTCTACCCAGGTGCCCTTTCAATGGCAGGGATGCCCTCCCCCCAGATGCCCTCAGAGCACTCAAGTATGTCCAGCAGCCCAGAGCCCAACGCCAACCACCACCAGAACCCCCACATGCCCGGACTGAAGGGGGACGAGCCACGGATCAAGGAGGAGGAGCTGCGGCTAGACGACAGCAACGGTGACGTGTACGATGATTTTGACTACGAGGACGAAGACGCCGACTACGCTAGCGACAACGACAACCATATCCCCCATTAAGGCGGCACCGGTCACGGCCGGTGGCGCTCTAAAGATTCTAAACATCAGTCAGGAAGAGGAGTTTGTACTTTGCCAATCACCTCAAGTTTAAAAGATAAAAAACACCTCCCATCCCCTCTTCTCCTGACTAACACGGACTCTTTGGGCAGAGCCAGCTCCCCTTCCCCTCCCACTGGAGTCCTGATACCAGCATCTGATCAATCAACGGAAGCACAGGACCTGTCACTCACACTGACTGTTACACATGCTGGAGTCTGGGAGGAAGCCAGTTTAAAGCTCACTGAGGAATATTCAAGTACTACTGCGAGAGTGTGATGCCACAAGTGAGAAGACGATTATAAAAATCAACCCTTTTCAGTCCGATCTGGAGGGAAAGGAGACATTTTAAACTGAAAAACTAAAACAGCGGACCTGTCAAAGGCTAACGGATGACACTTTAGGACGGCGGACCTGTTTATTATCAAGAGACACTTTTAAGAAACAGCTTTTTTTGTTCTTTGGTTCTATAATATTCTCACTCAGGTACACGGTGCCAATAAGTGGCTTGTGAATGTGATTTGTTGTTTTTTGTGCTACAAGTTTGAATAATAATAGAAAAAAAAGAGACTTTTCTTTTTTTTTTCCCCCTCCCTTTTGTTGTAAAGCACCTGAAAGACATCAGACCTTTATTTTTAACTGAATCCTCAGCCTAGCGGTGTGCTATCGGTGCCTCCACTCGCCTCTTCCCCCCCCACCGCTCAGGGGGAGGAGACAGAGAGGAACCGATCGAGGGGGAGGGGGGGCGTCCCGGAGCGGAATCGAAAGCACTGTGTTTGTGAGACAATCCACGAGTTTTCTTCTCACTCCGTCCCTCCTGTCTCCATCTCAATATCGTGTAGGACAAAAACTAAAAACATTTTTTTGAAAGTAAAAAAAAAAAAAAAAAAATCATCATCAGCACGACTTCACCTGAAACATCCGACAGGTGCGCGTCAGTGTGTGTTGCTTACAGCACTTTTGTTTTTGGTTTAGAGCAACAACAAAATTTTAAAAAAGGAGCTAAAACAAAATCTTGAAGGATAAGAAACTTGTTCTGCTGCTGTTAATGCGCTGTAACACACACTCTCTCTCACACACACACAGAGAAAGCTATTGTTCTGTCTAAGTGTTTTCTGCTCCCTCCAATCAACGTCGTCCTGCTGTAAGCCAGTGGGTGGAGCCGGAGTGCAGTCAGTGTTTCTGTATTTTATTATTATTTTTCTTTAAAACTGCCTCTAGTCTAATATTATTATTATTATTATTAACCATAATTAAGAGGATGGTCAGCGTTTCCTGAGTTAAGTAAGTTATGTACAGTATAATTTATTTTTCTCCTCATCAGGTTTTTGTGACTATATGAAATGGTCACTGAAACATTATTCTATTTAGCTGGTAGGAATTTAGATTTAAGCAGAAGTTGTCCTTTTACCTTGCTTTGGTTTTGTTTGTCTTTCTTTTCCCCTTCTAAATCTATTTTGACTTGTATTAACCCCTGCGGACGGATGTGTGGCGCAGTTAGGACAGCGAGCTCCTCTAAAGACGCTGAAGACTTTTTTTTTTTAATTTTATCTCCATGCCCATTTCTACGAAGCACTCAGACTCTCTGCAGTCAGAGATAAAGAACATTAATATTTGTTATTATTATTGTTATTATTGTTATAATTTTATTTGTAATGATTATCACCATGTACAATGTGAAGGTTTCCTCTTTTTTTGTTGTCGTTTTCTTTGAGAATGATTTGAAGGATTTCTGTGAACAAAGACCTGTCCCCGTTTACTAGCTGAGCCGCCTCGCCGAGACACAGTGAAGCATCTGCTGGCATCCTCACATCCACAGCACCGCCCAGAAGTTCACATACTCTTGGTCGGCATGAATGTCAATTAAGACATTGGAACATTTCTTATTTTAAGCTGGACTGATGAGATGTAAAAACAAAAACCCATGAATTAACAAAAATAAATAAATAATCAATTGGCTGTATAAAACAAGAGTTAGAATTGTTTTATATATCTTGCTAAACACATCGTGGCAAGTTGTATTTGAACTCCACATTTTTCCAAGCCACGACTCTGTATTTCCATATTTCTGTCTGATTGACAACTGGCTCTTTCAATTGCTCAGTTTGCATTATAAATAGGACTAAAGCCTGCTTTAACGATTCTGAAACCAGTTTTGTACGTTTATAATTTGTTGCTTCCAACAGGATATCCAATTTTTGTAACCATCTAGCAGAATCACTGACACCAAAACATTTGCACAACATGATGTGCAGTAGTTGGTGCAGTTTTCTTAATTTTACAAGCGTCACCTCGATTCCTCCAATCAAGCTTGCTAATCTTTACTTGAAGAAATTTGAGGTCATGCAATAGGACTTCAGCCATTGTGGTTTCTGGGTTGTTCCAGAAGACTCTAACCAATTTCTCCTCATTCAACAAATAGCTGGACATTAAGACACAGTTGGGTGTCCCAAACTTGTGTAAAATCTGGCTCTGGAGTACAACAGCCCAGCATTATGCATCTGGATTGGCTCTGATAATATGCATATTTATAATTTCCGATCGCATCAAGATAATGAATGTTCTCAAAGGGGCTGTAAAGTGACTTATGTAGTAATAAAATCATCAGTTAAAATGTAATAATTTTAACATCTTTTCACACTGATGTAATTTGGTCCAATACAAAGGAAAACTGATTGGAGTTGACTGATAAAATAGTACACAGCTTATCTTAAAGTTCAGTTTATGTGGGTCTATATTTTTTTTATTTACTCTAATTTAAGAGCTGTAGATATTTAATTCATCATTTAAACTACTGCCTTATTTGACATTCATGCTGATTAGGGTATTCAAACGTCTGACTGGCACCGTCTTCACGCACAAACACAATCACTAAAACACACGCCTACAATATAAAGAGATTATTATTGAAACTAAACAAATTCTATGCTGTTTTTTTTTTTTTAAACATTGTACATTTCTAGAATGTTTTTGTAATAGCAGTGATTTTCTTTCGTCCAATCATCATCATCACAGTGTTCACTCTGACCCAGCAGGAGTGTTTCACCGTGTCGGCATGTGAGGCGGCCCGGCGGTATCTCTAACCTCCCTCATCAGGAGCCCTTTGCTTTGTTTGAGCTCCACGCGACGCTACAGGAGCCATGACTACTCTTCAGGTGTGACGTCGCTTAGTGATCCCCCCCCCATATTTTCTTTTTTTCTTTCTTTAAATCGCTATATAAATGTTCCACATAAAGAGCTTCTGGGTCTTAATTATGCTGTAAAGTCACCCCTGTTATCACCACACTGTTGCTGGAGAGAGGAATCAGGAGAGCGAGTGGGGCATTAAAGACATCAATCATCCCTGCTGGCAAGGTCTGTCCCCATAACAAGACAATGAAAATATTATTTAAGACAATCAGTCACGAGTGGAGCTCACAACAAAGTAAGAATTATTACAAGTAAACAAAAAAACTATCTTACCATCTCAACTTGAAAAAAAAAATCAAGAAAGATAATTATGTAAATATAACATAGAGTTATAGATTTATATTTTGTTCATAACACAGTGTAATATAAGTTGTATATTTCTTTTTTTTTTTTTTGGTTTTCTCTCCCTACTGTCTCTTTTATTGATGTTTATTCATGCCACAGAAAAGTGGAGTCGCAGTGCTCCCTCAAAAAAATATGAAAAAAATATCAAAGAAATAAAGAAAAACAAGAAAAAAAATAATAAATTCGTGGGCTGCCACCACCATCTGTTCTAAGTTCACTTTTTTTTCAGTATTACTGCCAGACGAGGCTCTAATAAAGACAGCAATGTGTTGAGTAAAACTTGTGCTGGTCCTGCTCATTTTTTCCCGCCACTAACTTTCGTATAGTCACACTTTATTTTGTTCCTACACCAATGAAAGTGTGGTGTCAATAAATACTTGGACGCAGAGTAAGTCATGGGTATTTCCAAAAGCAGTTAGAAACGTCTTCCTCACATCTTATTTTATTATTCTTATTATGTAAGCCATCAGCAAAGTTGAGTGATTGAATCATATTTATAATATGTTAATTATGGTAAGTCCACCTTGTTGCCCCTCCAATCAGAGAGAAGAAGAAGATGAAGAATCACGACCTGTTAGCAACCACATAACCTAACTGAGCACAACAAGGGACACTTTTCTGTAAAAAGAAAAAAAAACATGTTTGCTGCCGTCACCTGGTTTAAAAAAAAAACACACAAAAAAAAAAACACAAATGTATAATTGATGCTTGCTTATGGATGTTGGTGCAGTTTTCCGGGGTTAAAAACACCAAACCCCACTCAGCGTGCCCATTAAAATGCTGTCCTCCATCTGCGTCCATATGTTCCGCAATCAACCCCCACAGCCCTGCTTGACGCACGGCGCATAAAAACAAGCTAAATGCATTCAGAGGACAGGATTTTATGTGCTTTGTTAATTACCAGAACTTCACAGACACACACTTCCTAACACCCCCCACCCAAAAAAAAAAAAACCTTTTGATGCAATAAAAAGGCAAGATGGGGGCAGATTCAAAACTCACGGAATAATACGGTAAGTGAAGGATTCGGTTTGTCTGGGCGATGTGAATTTTTCAGAGGCGACCCGAAGGCAAAAAACCCGAGAAAGAGAAAAGGTTTGTGTGTGTGAATAGCTGAGGAGCAGAAAAAGAGTTTGGATTTTTATTTTATTGTCAGCAATATGGGAATGCTGAAGGAAGCAAACAGTGGTTAGCCTCCGATTCAATCACGCACACCCTAAGGTGGGCTGGAGGTGGGCAATTCAGAACAAAGAAGAAAGAAAAAAAAACTATCAAATGGCAAAATTATTTTTATCAGCACAGTTGCCTTGAACTTTTCCTGCTTGTGCAAACTGCACCGAACACTAAAAATCTGTGAGCGGTGTGCTCCGAGAGCGGGCCGCTCTGCCTGCCTGCGTCGGCTCGGTGAAACATGCCGTGGATTCCCCCCCCCCCCCCCCTCTTTCAACCGTGGGTGTTTGGAAATTGAGTGAAAACGATGTCACATTAATGATTTAAAGTCGGTAATAGGATGTGCTGTGACGCTGAGCCGCCAGCTAAACTGAGTTTAAGGCTGCAGCGTTAATGTATTCATGAGGAGGAGGATTATACAGAGACAAGAGCAGCTTGAGCTGAGTGCAGCACACTAGCCAAAGCCTCACTTTATTTATTTCACATATATATATATATATATATATATATATATATATATATATATATATATATATATATATATATATATATATATATATATGTGTGTGTGTGCAAATTAATTTCATATTTTAATTTTTAATCAACTTTTCAGAAATTAAAACATGCATGAAGAATTGAAAAAAATAAATTTTTTTGTTCTTTTTTTTTTTTGTGTGTCACTAGGATTTAGTTTCCAAACATTGTATTCCCCAGATGACTAGTAGCAAACAAACTGTTATGAAAACATTTCAAAGAAATTAATTCTTGCCTCTAACTGGGATATTAGCACAAATGTGTGTTTATCTCCGAGCAGTGCCTTCTCCTTTCATCTCTGATTCTGGCTGCTCGGCTAATCCCCGGTCTGCCGTACCATCACACACACAAACTGCAGCATCACTGAAAAATAAAAATCGCACAAGTATCACAGGAAGGGGAAAAAAACTCTAGCAAGTGTTTAGGTTTCTGTTTTCTAATATTTTATCATCTTTTTTTTTATTATTATTAAGCTAAAAAAAAGGGGAAACAGAACTTGTTAGTCTGTGGATTGCGTATTAAAATTTCAGAGCATAAAAGACGAGGTAACCTGAGGCTTAGAAGCACAGTAAAATAAAAATCTACTACAAGTTTATTTGTGTTTTTCTTGATTTGTATTTAAATTTTAAAAACTACGAAGTCAAACAGGTGGAGACGGGATGAAAAACATGACTTTCTTTACATCATCCGTGCTTGAACGTTTATGCATTACACATCTAACCTAACCGCTGTCATGACAGACAAGTGGCAGGTTATGTCAATCACAGCAGGTAAGCAAGACATTATCACAGTATGATGAGCAAAAAGAGCACAACGTGATCTAATTGCTTTTACTTGCATCAGAGAAGCAACAACTATTTCCATTCATGCAAATATCAGATATTCTTTTTTATGGTTATACATTGAAAATAAACTACTGCTAAATTCAGCTGTAGTCTTGAAGTGTTTATTGATCAGCATTTAGATATTCTGCTCTTTGAGAGGAACAAGCAGAGTTAGTTTAATTAGTCAGGCTATCTGAGTCAGTATTATGTAAAATTGAAATCTTCGACATGGAAAGGCATTTTTATAACGTGCTGAAGGCAGAACTTCTTAAAGAGACAGGTCAATTTCAAAATGTCAAATTACAAAGTTGAATTCCTTTGAAGTTATTCATTACATATAGCATTTTTTAACAACTAAATGTAAGACAGTAACTTTCAAGTTACCGCCCCTTAAACTGGTGCTAGTGGCGTCTCAGCCTGACCATTGTAAGAGTGATGGGTCATACTTCATTAGTTTACAAATTGTGATTGTTGGGGGTTTTTCTTCAAAACAGACAAATTTAAATTTCTTCTAAGAAGAAAACCCAACTGTTTTTTGATATTTTTTTTTTTATGTACAGCTACAGGTTGGGGAGGGGCAGTCCTGAGTCACTCTGTGCAGAATACAGCCAAAGGAAACCAAAGATAACTTAGAGGTTCCTATGACTTCACATTGGAAGGACTTTAAGTTACAGGAACACTGAAGAAAGATTTTAGGACATTTTATACAACCCAGCCATGAATAAGGAACACAATATACAGTTAGAGGTTTCATTTTTTTCTTTCTCTTTTTTTTTCTTCTTACGTCGCAGCCAATGTGTCTCAGCTCAAACACATTGACACTTTATTTGTCTTTACAGACCTGTAATGTAAATGAATTAAAAGTTTGTTCAGGCTTCAGGAACTTATCTGACAAAATGCTCCTTCATCTCCATCCTGTTCTTTCAAAAAATCCAAACTAAGGAACTCTACAGTATGGAGAACCAAAAGGCTTGTTCAACAACACACACATTTCTAGGACGATGTCAGACTACACCAATTTACAGATACATTTTGTGTTTTAGGGAGGTTTTTGCATGAATACCAAAGATGCATCACTTGTTCAAAAAGACTTCCATTCGTATATGTGACTTGCGTGACAACTCTAGTACCCTTTAGGGCTCCTGCTGGATTGGATGCATTGAATACCTGCTTATTTTACTAATACCTTAGGCCGGTTGTCAGTCAGGTTTCGGTGACTGAAACCTCAAACGGACACAAAAGCGGCGGTGGTTTGAGCGACGGCCCTAATGTGACGGCTCCGAGAGCGGTGGCGTGTGAGGGACAGGCGTGGCACACCGGAGGAACAGCGGGAGCCTGCGGGCGGATCCCTGATCGGCGCCGGGAAACTGGCTCGGCGCCCCGGACTCGTCTTCTCTCCCCCTCTGGTCTTTCTCAGCTGGCCTGGTTTCACCCATCTCTTCCTGTCGGCTTCCATCAAAACGTACGAACAAGTTTATTATGGCGTTGTCGAGCCGAGGCACCCTGCTGTGATGCGTCGCCTCCCAGTGAACTGCCTTCATAAGAAGATTCTTTCCTGGCCATTTCCACTCCATCCTCTTGACCTGTGACCAGGGGTGGCCATTTATTGTATCGTTTATGATTTATCGTAATAAATCTCTTACAAAAGGCTTTTGATTCATCATTGTCACAATTACGTCCAATTAAGACGTTTTAAAAAATAAATAAAATATATCCTTCTCAGCATTTATAGTTTTAATATTATCCCCTCTATTCAATTAAAACATCAATAAATACATTTTATAATGCAGTTACTGTCAGCTGCTTAGTCATACAAATCACACGTTTTCGAGGGCAGTATTTGTGTTTTTGGGGCTATAAATCATACAGTTGCCTAAAAAAGGTCTAATAAATGGTTAGTCAGTTTTCTTGTAATAATAATAGTACCACAAAATATCATGACAAATTTTTAAATCCATATCTGGAACTCATCTGACTTAAAAAAAAAAAGTATATATATTTATCAAAAACACCAAAACTTAGGAGCTATTATTAAATACCACTGGATTGCATATTAAAATTTCTGAGTTTTGACTCATACTTTAGAAGACACCAAACGTGTAAGTATTGGCATTTTGATAAAACACGACTTAAATTAACACAGTGGAAATGATTTGAATTTGATCATCAGATGTTAGCGTGTAGGTGGGCTGCAGAACTTTTCACAGTAAACTTGAAACGGAGACGCTGCTCGCCGAGCCGCAAATCAAATCAAAGCGAGATAAAACAACCTGTGGGCGCTTTAACGTCATTCTATGAAATATTGATTTTTTTTTTATTTTCTTTTGGAGAAATGAGAAGAAGAAAAAAAATCTAGAACCCTGTAAAAGTGTTATTTTCTCTCCCCATCAACACCCTAATGCACACATGCAAATATTATGCTAATGGTATGTTAATTGGTGGAGTAGCTGCAAAGCAGCCCTGCTGTTCAAATGACTGGTGAGAAAATAGGTGGGGTCAGTCGCAAGCTGTAAAAGCAGCTCCAACACAAATAAACAAAACCCTCGGGGATTAACAGAACAAGGGCCAGTGATAAACGGATGAGAAGGGAGAGCGGGAATACAACAGGCTGCGAGTGAGGGGAAGGGGGAAGAAAAGAAAGACAGCTCAGGGATATGGAAATACCGCCGAGCAGAGCGGCCAGAGTTAGAATGAGGAGAAAGGGCCTTAGAAGATTAAAGAGTAAAAAAGTACAAACAAATAAAAAAAAAT